GTACGCCCCCCCCCCCACCTCACATGCATCCAGGCGCAAGAGATTCGAACTGGCGCGCTGCTCTGCAGACTAGTGTTACATTTATTTTCGTTGACGTTTCCTCCCCCCCCCCTCCTTATTGTTGGCCGCCACCGCCGCCGCCGCCATGCAAACCACTGGCAGGTTCTGCTAACCTCCGCCCAGGTGGTCCTTTTCGCGACAGCTGCGGTGGGTTCTGTGACTGGAGTTTCGGCAGCTGTGGCTGGGCTGCATGTGACGGCCCGCGTGGCCCTGCATGGTGCACAGCTAGTGTCCGTAGGGCTTCCGTTTCTTTTGCGAAACGCGGAGAACGTCAAGGAGGCCGCCCAGGAGCCCGCCAGCACCTCCATGGTCAAGGTATCTAGCTTTACACGGTCTTAACGCCATAGTTGTACATGTTGTCAAGTCAGAAAACGGGAGGTGCTGCCACTGAGGAGGGGTCGCGGGCAAAGCGAGGAAACGCCTTGTTGAAACGACGTTTTGATAGAGGCCCTGATGCTCCCAAGAGGTGTAGGAGATTTCGGAGATTTGCCGAACTAGTCGTGAGGTCTGTCCATGTGACGAAAGTGGTCTCAGGTGTTTCGTGCGCCTCATTCCTGCCCGGACTTGATCAATACATCGGCATTTCGTTTTCTTCGCTCCACCACCTTCAATTTCAACTGATACATCATCCAATTGCAGTCATAACTGACGATACATGAGCTTAAACATCGAAAACCGGTCCGTAAATATCCGCTTGCCACACGGTTTGCGCCCCACGGAGCACTGTGGATTGATTTATTGTTTTCTTTCGAATTGCATTTATTAGTATTTTCTACCGCCCGAGGGAAGAGAGAGATACCAAACTGGCAGAGAGCACATTTCCCGCAGACACGTTTCTGCGGCCTTTCTATCTTGCCTCTGCCTCTCTCCCAATAAAGACTGTCTCTCTCCACTTCCTGTCAGCTCCAGAGGCTGGCACACCACTAGAAGCCTTCTATGTGACCACCTCGCTAGTTGTCTCTGCGATACTCTCTCTCAAGCACGCTAAGACTCTGTGGACACAAGGCTTGAACCGAATGGTAACACATGCGACTCCTCCTCTCGACCGAGGGGGCCCCGCAGTACGCAATGCGTTCCGGGTACCCCAATATAAACAGTATGGCAATTCGAGTTGTTTGAATAAACCTCGGTTTGTTTTGTCTACGCCTTTGTCTACGCCTTAAACAAACCTGCCCTTGTGGAAAGAGGTGGAAGGGAGCCTTTTCGGCGTGGGAGAGCATGAATAGTTTCCAGCAACTCCATGCCTTGAGAACCAACGACCTGTCCTTATCTCGCAACACTTGGGTTCACGACTGGTGTTTTGGAAGTCACGGATCGGAGCCTTTGGGTATAAGCGGGAATGAATTTCCGAAGCGAAGCGATGTTTCGAGAACCAACACCCTCTCCATTCCTCTCCAACCTTGGCTCCATGGTTGTCGCTGCATGTGTTTGCAGCCCAACAGTACCGTATCAGGGAGAGATTCGCCTCGTGAAACGGCGAACGTGGGCCCTGCAGTGTTCACGGAGGGAGAGGAAGCGCCGCCTTTTGGTATGCATACCACACCCGAGGACCGGCCCTTACCACCCGACCACCCGGGAGGTAAAGAGCTGGTTCTCTACCAGCCTCTGCCGTTCGCGGTCGACTGCCAATGCACGGCCGGTGCTGACGGCGGCGAGTCCAGGGAGGGGGGGTTGCCCGATCCCAAGGGAGGTAAAGAGCTGATGCTCTACCAGCCGTTGCCGTTCGGGATGGTCGTCCAAGACACGGCGGGTGCTGACGGCGGCGAGTCCAGGGAGGGGGGGTCGCCCGATCCCAAGGGAGGTAAAGAGCTGATGCTCTACCAGCCGTTGCCGTTCGGGATGGTCGTCCAAGACACGGCGGGTGCTGACGGCGGCGAGTCCAGGGAGGGGGGGTCGCCCGATCCCAAGGGAGGTAAAGAGCAGATGCTCTACCAGCCGTTGCCGTTCGGGATGATCGTCCAAGACACGGAGGGTGCTGACGGCGGCCAGTCCCGGGATGCGGGGTCGGCACGTGCGGTCGTGTCCGATGCCATTGGAACATCGGCTTGGGTGCCAGAAGGCCCACCCTCGCACATAGCGGGCGTGGATTCGGAGGACGGTGCTGGAGACGAGCTTCATCCCCTTCCCGAGCCTCTTCATGCGGAGTCGGTGACGCTCGAAACTGTGCTCGACTCCGCGCAATCGGACGACAACGGCCTATTATCAGCACGAGAGGTGTCTCCTGCTCTGGTTCGCTGGGGCGACAGGCGAATCACACAGAAGCATCTGGCCGTGGTTGGCGTGGTGCCCGCTATTTCTGCCGGAGCAGTAGTCCTGTTCTTATGTCAGTGGCGCTCACGGCGGACGCGTCTTCGGCAACAGGCGCTGGTGAGTCCCCAGGGGGTACTGAAGGGGTCCTACCGCGTAGTTTTCCGTTGCCCATTCTCCACCAATCAAATAGCTTGTGCACGCAAGGTGGTGACCGAACCGGATCGTTGCGTACCTCACACCGATATGTCGTTCCGCGAGTGCTTTCGGCTTGCCAGGTATCCTTCCGAACTAATAAGTTTCCCTTTGCTAGCACACAACCTTACCAATTGTTTGCGTTTTTTGTACCTTGCATGTTCACTTGTTCTTTATCCCGTGTTTGCTTCGCCTGCACCCCTTCTCTTCACAGGGCCTTGCCCGGCAGGGCGCGCTTCGACGGGTGATCCTCCGGGACGCTGTGCGATTGCGCCAGCGGGAGGTCTCCTCCTTCTGGCGTTTGCGGCTGGCGACGGCGACAGGAGTTGTGACCGGCCTCCGCGCCCAAGGCGAGCGAGCGGCGGCGGAGCACGAGGCAACCCGCGCCACCGACCGCGAAGACGCCCAAGAGCAACAAGAAGCGGCGGTGGCGGAGGTGACGGCAGTGGAGACAGCGAGACGTGAGTTGGCCGAGACAGCCCTCGACGAGAAGTGTGAAGCGGCAGCCGCCGACCGGGTGGAGCAGCAAGCTCGCATAGAGAAGTTGGAAGCCCAAATACACTCGACGGAGGAGTCTCGGCGCGTTGCTAAGGAGCTGCAGCGGCAGCAGCTTAAGAAAATCGAGGTTCGTGCGTGGGTTGGGGTGGTATTCAGAGTGTTTGTTTGGCGGGGAGCTTGTTGTTGTTGTTGTGGGGAGTGCAAGAACTGCTGTACAGTGCTGGGGCAGACCGAGTCGCACCGAGTGGCAGCATCTTACGCTTCTGGTGCAGCTGTCGTGTTGTTTCATTACTATTCTAGAAAGAAGAACGAATACTATTTGTCCTTCTTCAGGGCGAAACACAAATCGACTGGGGTTTTAAGGGCGAGGTGTGACTATGCCTTTTGGGGCCGCATGGTTTCCAATATTTCGCCTGTTTATTTTCTGTTTTTTTTACCTTGCTTGGTCACTTGTTAAATAACCCATGCTTGCTTGACCTGCACTACTTGTCTTCACTGGACTTTGCTCGGCAGGACGCTGCTGGTGCGATGACAAATACCGGTATTACAGAAATTTGTTCACCTTGATTTCGTCACCGTCTCTTCTAGTCATGGCATTCAAAAGCGGATTATTAGGGAACACAACCCTCACGAGCACGAATTCGGTGGTTGAAAGCAGAACACTGCGCTTGCAATTGTGAATTCCGTTTGTACTTTACTTACTTAATATATAATATCAAACACCATTCATTGCTACGAAATGCGGATAATCTCCATCTCGCCAGTGTTGGAGTCGCGAACCCGCTAGATATAATTTTAGGCAACATCACCGAGAGCATCGCGGCGACCAGCACACGCCACGAGGAAAAGGGCGAGTGAGGAGTAGGTCAAGGTATTTATTTAGTGCCGTCATCATGTCATCAGGTATTTATTGAGTGCGGTCATCATATCGTCTCCCCGTGGTCTCGCCGCTTGTGCGACGCCCCAGCAAGGTCCCATGTGTGCTCGCGGCACCAAAATGGTGCGATTCAGAATTTCGTGCACCAAGTAAAAAACAACCGCACCCATCCAGCCGCAAAATGCACATTCATGACTTTGCGCTTTCGAACGAAACGTCAACCTCGGTGGCGCAAACCGTGGTCGTCTTACAGAAGGAGATCGCGGATAAGACCCGGGAGGCCAACCAGCGCCAACATCGGCAGCGGCAGCAGGTCCAACACCTCGCGAAGGAGGTAAAGGGCAAGCACAAGGAGGTGGGTCACGAACGCGGTACAATATGACCTGAACAAGTTCGTTTGTCGTCGCTGGTGTGTCTGGTCACGTTGCCAGTGACTTCGTTTCATGTCTCCTGTCGTCACGTGTACCGATCATGCTGGACCGAGCTTGTCTCTGATATCTGCCCGCCTCGTTAACAGGTAGCGGCGACGGCACGGGCGCTAACGGAGGCGAGGCGTGACGGGGCGTATCTCCAAATGGAAAGGGATGGCCTGGGGTGAGCAAAGCATGTAGGCGGAGAGGGAGGTACCGAGGAGCGCTGTTGTTGTTGTTGTTGTTGTTGTTGTTGTTGTTGTTGTTGTTGTTGTCATTGTTGTTGCCATGGCCTCTGTTGCCCCTGGCGCTGATGCGATTGCACCCTTCTATCGTTCCCCTGCCGGTGTCTTGTGTACTAGCGTCGCCCTCGCCGCGAAAGAGGGCGCCCTCTCCGCGACACAGGACCGCGCCCGGGTCGAGCGGGAGGAGGCGGTGGCCAATGCCCGGCGGCTCGAGGGCCAGGTGAAGAAGCTGGAAACGGCACTGGAGACCTCGCACCTGGCAGTCACGACGGCAGAGGCGGCCACCGCCGGGGCGAGGGCAGAGGCGGAGGAGCTGCAGGGGAAGCTGGACGCACAGCAGGTGTGACTGTGTGTGTGTTCTTTTGTGTGCATCGACCGCGCTAACAGTCTGACCAACGAAATATTCCAAAACACGTACACTTTCCAACCAAAGGGTAAGGATTCTACCGACTGGGGGGATGCAGGAGTTGGACTTCCTTGTCCTCCTTCTCGTTCTCCCATGCTAACACCGTCTCCCTATGCATACACCTCACACACCTTTCCTCCCCCTGCCCCCTTGGTTGCCATGATCTCGGGACACGCTTGTGTACTTGACGGACGCGACGAAATATACTTGTTTACCCCGGGACTCGATGGGATACTGTCTGTTTTCTCCAGGTGCCACGCGAGAGGACACCCGAGGATGCTGCTGCTGCTGCTGCTGCTGCTGCTGGTTCTAGTGGTGGTGGTGGCGGCGGTGAGTTGACCTTTCGTTCTGGAGATGTGCCCCGTGTCTCACGAGAGTCGAAGAGGCACGAGAAATTGCAGCTGAAGTCGTTTCTGCAAGCTGGAACCATTGGAAGCTATCGAGTGACGTGCTCGGTTTGTCGTACCGTCTAGGAAGCGTTACCTCTGGCGGGGGCGGCGGCGGTATGCAGCGGCAGAACGAAGCCCTCGTCGCCGACCCCGGGTCCCGGTGTCCCAACAAACATTCTGATCTGTTTGTCAGCGTTAATGGGCTGCTCTATATTCTTGGTTCCTCCTCCTTTTGCAGGACTGAGGCCATCCGTCTTGAGAGATGAGATCGCGGGCCGGCTCTCGTCGGCACCAGCATCTGCCTCGTCGCCGGTGTGCCGTGGACACCCGTCCCCCCAAACGGGGGAGACTGGGTTCGCCGCGGCCAGGGGCGGAGGCGGGGACGGCTGTGTGCAGGGTGCCACCTGCCAAACGGAGGCGGGAGAGACGGTGAGTGGAGAAAGCGTTTCCTCACCAGTTGTCATCCTGCCTGTTGACGTGGCGGATCAGTGGCCGAACGGGTCACCCTTTGGGAGAGATAGCGCGAGAAGGCTGCTCCTAAACGTTTTGAGGGTGCAACATGTGTTGTTGTTGCTGGGGGTGCTTCGTGTGAGGCAGGAGCTGATAGGTCCTACATGGCTGGTCGGTGCTGGAGGCTGTATTCGTTCGGGCGGCGCCTTGCGAACTCCAGGCACCCCTTGGGAGCTGCAATCCCCCTCTCCCGCTCTTCTGCTGGCCTGTCAGTGGTACATTCTTACCTGCTGATGGCGTCACCCTCGATAAGATACGCCTCTTTGTAGCAGAGGGATTTAGTCGCATAGCTTCCGAAGGACATAAGAGTCGGCATACAGCTGGACCGGGATGCGATCAGAGTGTCTTACCTTGGGGCAACTTCGCTTTTGACAAAGGAAGGAGTATATACACCTCACACACGTTTCCTCCCCCTGCCCCCTTGGTTGCCATGATCTCGGGACACGCTTGTGTACTCGGCGGACGCGACGAAATTTACTTGTTTACCCCGGGACTCGATTGGATACTGTCTGTTATCTCCAGGTGCCGCGCGGGAGGACACCCGAGGATGCTGCTGCTGCTGCTGCTGCTGCTGGTTCTAGTGGTGGTGGTGGTGGTGGTGAGTTGACCTTTCGTTCTGGAGATGTGCCCCGTGTCTCACGAGAGTCGAAGAGGCACGAGAAATTGCAGCTGAAGTCGTTTCTGCAAGCTGGAACGATTGGAAGCTATCGAGTGACGTGCTCGGTTTGTCGTACCGTCTAGGAAGCGTTACCTCTGGCGGGGGCGGCGGCGGTATGCAGCGGCAGAACGAAGCCCCCGTCGCCGACCCCGGGTCCCGGTGTCCCAACAAACATTCTGATCTGTTTGTCAGCGTTAATGGGCTGCTCTATATTCTTGGTTCCTCCTCCTTTTGCAGGACTGAGGCCATCCGTCTTGAGAGATGAGATCGCGGGCCGGCTCTCGTCGGCACCAGCATCTGCCTCGTCGCCGGTGTGCCGTGGACACCCGTCCTCCCAAACGGGGGAGACTGGGTTCGCCGCGGCCAGGGGCGGAGGCGGGGACGGCTGTGTGCAGGGTGCCACCTGCCAAACGGAGGCGGGAGAGACGGTGAGCGGAGAAAGCGTTTCCTCACCAGTTGTCACCCTGCCTGTTGACGTGGCCGATCAGCGGCCGAACGGGTCACCCTTTGGGAGAGATAGCGCGAGAAGGCTGCTCCTAAACGTTTTGAGGGGGCAACATGTGTTGTTGTTGCTGGGGGTGCTTCGTGTGAGGCAGGAGCTGATAGGTCCTACATGGCTGGTCGGTGCTGGAGGATGTAGTCGTTCGGGCGGCGCCTTGCGAACTCCAGGCACCCCTTGGGAGCTGCAATCCCCCCCCCCCGCTCTTTTGCTGGCCTGTCAGTGGTACATTCTTACCTGCTGATGGCGTCACCCTCGATAAGATACGCCTCTTTGTAGCAGAGGGATTTAGTCGCATAGCTTCCGAAGGACATACGACCCCTGTCCCCTTTGTTGCACCCCCCCCCGAAGTTTGCCATCGGCCTTGGGATTTCGTCGCTTGGCAACGACGTTGTAAAACATGCCCCTCCCCCCCGGTGTTTGCCATCGGGCATGGGCTGTCGTCGCTTGGCAGCGATGTTGTGAGACAAGCCGATCACGTCGTGAGCTCGGCAAACAGGTTACAAGTTTTGTGTTGGGCAGTAACCATAATGATGGTCGAGTTGATTATGTTGTGCGGGGTCGAGAACCTTCAATCCGTGCAAAGTTTGATGTTATCGCACCACGTTGTGGTAAATTGGTCGAGCACCCTCGAGGCAGTTACACAGTGCTTGCAACTGTCTCTGGAAGTGAAACTTCCAGAATATATATACAGTCATAAGCAGCTGTCATCCGTACGCAAGGAAGTAAGCACAAGACGCCGAACACCCTTAGCAGGATGCGGCGCAGCCTTCGTGCGACTCGCCGAATACCTCACGGTGCTTCGCGCTTGGTGATGTGTGAGCCTGGTTTGGTGAGAACCCGGCGTGCTCCTTCCCGGCGTTGCAGGGATGCGAGGTCAATTGTCTAACGACTACGGCATGCATACACCCCCCCGTTCTGCTCCAACGGCACCGTACCCGCCGTTGACCCACTTGTTAGTTATATCGCATGCCTCGCTGCTTACGTCCTCCACCTTGACAGACATGCATGACGACCCGTTCGTTCTTTGCTGTTTGAAGAATGCTGTTCCGATATCATTCAAGAAACTGCCAACTCATGTGGCGATCCGTTGAGTTTGACCGTTTGTTCTGCTGAAGGGACGTATCCCTGTTGCATGACGAATCTTTGGTTCTGTCAAGTGCTGAAGGAAGGTATGCCGGCTGTGTGTTCATGGCATCTGTAACTTTTCGCTTTGGTTTACCATTGGTGCTTCGGGCCCGCCCCAGCCAACACGGACGGCTAGGTTGATTCTTGATACCGCCTGTGATTCTTCGGGTTGTCATCAATGAAGTGGTCGTTGTCCTGCTGTGTAATTGGTCTTGCAGGGCGAAGGGTCGGGTGAGGGTGACGCCCGGATTGGAGGGGCGGTGAGGGCGGTGGTCGGGCTTGCGGTAGCTAGCGGTGGGTGCGCTGCTACCGCAGCATCTTGTCCGGTTACCGCCGGAGCCGTCGCCAAGAAGTTACAGAAGGACACCCGCCAATGGGTTTTGGAGATGCGTGATGGCCGGAAGGCGAAAAAACAGGGAAAAAAGGAGGAAAAGAAGAGAAGGGAGGAAGAGTCGGCAGCTCGTCGGCGACGTGCTCAAAAGAGCCAGCCAGCGTCTGCGGCCGCCGATACTCCTAAGCACGGCGGCGGCGAAAGCGCCGGGGCAACCGCTATCGTGAAGCCGAAGGCAGCCCGGCACAAAACCTCCGACGAGCTCGCCGTTCTCGCTTTCCAGCGACGCCGAGGTGCCATTCACGGGAACGGAGGGACCGCGGGTCGACGACCTTCCGTCAACACCGCCGGGTTTGGCGTTGGGGTGGGCTCGGTCTTGCAGGTACAAGAACGAAACAGTAGCCTGAAGGCAGTCGATCGTTCAATCGTTGCCGGTGGTTTGTGCTGGTACAATTGATTTGGCATGGAGGCATGCCTTCACGAGACGCTTCATCAGACCCACGCCAAGAAACTGTAGGATGACGGTTAAGGTTAGACTACCCATACCCGGTATTTCTCTCCCTTTCGTTCTCTCTCACGAATAGTTGATCTCTAACCAGAATGGGTTGTAAAATTACACAATCTTTCGTACACCCAATTGCGCTTCACCATATGCCACACGAGCACTCGCTTCCGCTTTCAGCCCAAGCAACCGCCGCCGTCTCGTTTCAACAGCACCGCACCCCCCCGTTTCCCACGCGCGCCCCGCAGAAGCCATCAGTAGCCGCCGCCGCCGTCGCCACCGCCGCCACCACGGCCGCCACGAGCCCCACCGCCGACCCCGCCGCCACCGCCGCCACAGTCAACACCGCCGCCACCGCCACAGCCTCCGCCACCACCCCCGCTGACACCGCTGCCGACACCGCCACCCCCGCCACAGCCCCCACCGCCACGGACGCCGCCCCCCCAGCCACCGCTGCCACAGCCAACACCGCCGCCACCGCCCCCGTCGACACCGCTGCCGCCCCCACCGCCGCTGCCGCCGTCACGCCCACCGATGCTAACACCGCCGCCACCACCACGACCACCCAAGGTAACGCTTCCTAGATAGATATAGCAAATTTAGCCCGTCGCTAGATAGTTTTTTATCGTCCCAGTGTGCAGGAACGACTCCAGCTGCAACTCCTGCTGGACCTTCGACGGAGAACACGTCTCCTGAGACACAGGCAATTGTTCCTGTTGAGAAGCACGATGACCACTACACCACTAGTCAGCGCTGACTTGGGGTGTAGTGGTCATCGTGCTTCTCAACAGTTCCTATCGACCGGCCAATTGCTCTTGTCGGCGAAAGAAAAAACATTTGGCGTTGCTTTTTACCACGCACCTGGGAAATATTATCGGCCATCCTTTATGGTGTCCGCACGGGCATTGCGAAGCCATTTATACTGTAGTCTTCACAATATCCTGTGGAGTCGGGGGAACTCTTGGTCCAGGGTAGCTTGTCTTTTCCACTGGACGGTTCCGAGAATCTCGGTGACCCCGCACTACTACATGCTCTCTTCTGCGACCTTGTTCGGCATTGTATGCTTCCATGCCGAGACGTTCCACATCTGTTGTCGTTGGTGTCTTGCAGGAGCCGCACTATCCTCCGGGAAAAATAACTCCGAGATCTCCGGCGGTGCATCGTCGGGCGGGGCAAAGCGGAAGCCGCCGGCTCGACCGCTGCTGGGCGCACCCAGCAAGAGGTGAGTGCTCGTCAAGCTACTGTAAGGCATGGTTCTTTCATGCACGGCAGTAGAGCCTACTATCCAACACGGAGGCGTTTTCTTGGGTGATGGGGCTCCCAGCCGCGTGCGTGCTTGTAGCCACCGACGTACCACGACTTCGAGCCTCGCTGTGGTATAGCACCAACCCACAACCTTAGTTTAATGTCGTCGTCTTGCTGCTTTGCCGCTTAGCCTCGTAGTAATCACATAGCGTCATGGGGGCGACTTCAGTTGTCCCAGGGCGGTATTGGTCAACGCGCAAGAGAGGTGCAATGTATTGAAATCAAGTGTCACGAATCGAGGGCACCTACCTACCTGCAGTTGTCACATATCGTGGAAACCTAGCGCCCGGATCCAGATATTGAAGGCTGGGGTGCTCTCGATCTATCATGCTGACGTACCTTCGCACGCCTCTCTCGGTCCACATGACCATACAGCACGCTTTCTACGACGAGGTAGATTGATGCAGGTCTTCGCGAGTTGACCTGACTACTGCCCTATCGCCGACCGCCTGGTTGTCCGTGCGCCCACGACTCCTCGCTACAGGGGCCTCCAAAACAGCTCGTCAGCCAATTTGTGTTGCGTAAATGCAGTCTTGCAGCTGCTACGCCACTGCCCGCAGCTTCGCGAGGGGCTATCGGCCTACCCCAGGACCTTCTCCGCCACCAACGCGCCCGGCAACAGCTCGACACGCGGTGAGATGTGGCAGATACATATGTGCCTTAGAATACCCTTGCTTTCCTGAAGCTAACTAAACCGGCAACCACACGCCAAGCACGTGCGTCGGAACAAACAACAAGAGCGACATCAGTAACAACAACGTAGAGGCCGCGGAACCGCTAAATCGGTGGATGCATGCCGCGCCACCGGAGATTTCGAAACAGAGAAACACTGGGCTCGAAATGCGGACATATCGTCCTAAGCCTACTGACAGAAACCAATCTCGCTAGAGTATGTGGCCAACCATATCGAGCACCTTGCTTGCCCTCATCCCACACACCCATGAACGAGGTCGGCAACGAATGGGAAGTCAACATCCTTTTCCTCGTACATACGGCACGTGGAAGACTGAGGCTTGGGAGTTTCTTCATCCAAGACCATTTGTTTCCACTTCGACGTCTCCCTCTCCCGCCAGAGCGGAGTTTTCACGCTCTCTCGTACGGTCTTATCATGTAGCGAGGTCGTTTCAGTGTAGATCTGGAGAACTATGTCCTGGCCAACGTGAGCCCGGCCAGTGAAGCAACAGGCGCTGCTGTAAGAAGGACTTCCTCCGGTTGGTACGCTTCTCTCGCTTTTTCTCTTTCTCACACACACACACATTTTGCATGGTGTTCTCGATCGCGCGCCCTTCTGATTTCTTCTGTTGGCACAACTGGCCGAGCAGCAGCCAAAGAGAAACGTGAGAAGCAGTTGGCTACTCGAGGGATGGCCATGTTGATGAAGGTGAGGTGGGCTTGCCGTCTATATCGTCCCCCCCATCAAGAACACTTCCGGGTTGGTTGAACGGTAGCCGAGAGGTAAACGGCTGACCGAAAGGACGCGTCGTGGAGGGCATCGGCATTATTTGCACAAACACGATCAGCAGTTATTCACATCAATTTTTGTGCTGGTGGGTATTTTTGCTTATTGCTTCTGTGGTGCCATATGAAAGGAATCCGCTCAACACCGGCCGGAGTTCTGCGGAGCAACTTCCACCTCTCGACTCTGCCGCCGTTGCTAGTTGCGCGGCTGATTGTGCCCTTCCTTCGCCCACTCTGTTCTTGTGATTGAAGCGGATGGATATCCCGTCGAGAAGAGGTGCCTGCCACGTACACCCATCTCTTGCAAACTACATCTACAATGAAGATGATGTGAGTTTCGGGTAGATTGTCCTGTCCTGTCGCTGAAAGCTTGCTTCACCCCCATCCAACGCAGGTATGCCATATAGAGTGCATGGCACTTCTGTGGTGCTCCCAGTCCTTCCTTCACACAAAGACCATAGCAGTATACATTGATCGATCGATCTAGGCTTCAACGCGTTGTCCCGAAAGATCTTTGCGAGATCTTCACTTGTCCTTTGAAAAATACCCCACCGACCGGCCCGCTTGTCAACTGGTAGAATAACCCAATCTGCATACGTGCTCATCATCGGATACACTGTTTTTACTGCATCTGGTACCCACAAAGGATAACACACACCACTGCCCAAATGTCCTGGGACGAGAAATATTCTAGCTCTCTAGGTCCATGGCACTGGTGTTCGGGGCATTTATCTGCCCCGTTCATTCTGTCCACAAGAGAGGCGAATGTACTTACAACTATGTACACGGTTTGGAGGTGGGAAGATCGGCCCCGCCCGCGAACGTCTCCTTGGTAATTACACAATCTCAAGCCTAACCTGCACCCCCTTTTCGTCCGTTCTTGTTTCTGACAGCACGCGTATCGAGTACATACTACGTTCCCAATGTAGAGTAGAATTCAAGAAATAGAGTCAGACATTGACTCCAGGCCAGAGGTTTAGAGTCGACCTGTCCAATCCCACCACCACGATCAGCTCTCCCACCAACTTCGTCTTCCGTTTCTGATGTTCGGCAACTTTTGACGCCCTGATCGTTTGACGTGACAGCTACAACGAGGCCAGCAGGGGGATGCTCACCTAATCCTCATGAAGCTCCTAGACGCGCTTTCCGTAGCTTCGGAGAGCGGCGGGACGGTGAGAACGAACACATGGCCAACTTTCCAGGTTGTCTTGTTCTGCTGCACCGTTGTTGTTGTTGAGGGCTTGGGCGGATGACTCTTCCGGGCTAGCGCGGAAGCCTAACGACAGGTCCATGCTTCCTCACCGACTCTGGTAATCTAATGCCGCTTGTGTTTTAACGTCGGGACGTAACCCATTCTCGAAAGGCTGGCTTGAAAACAGCATGACACGGCCTAGGTTGGTCGTTCTTGCTGGGATTCGGTCACCCTGGACAAGTGTGCGCCATCGTCGACCCGGCCAGCCACTGTAGATCCCTCTTGTTTGCTGGGACAGGACTTTCGTGCATTGGCGTGGAGGTCTTGGCTTCATTTGTGCACCTAATGCTGCAAGTGGGACTTCTCAAACGTATGACTGCATTTGTTTTGCCAGCGTTACATGTGTTATTCCCGACCGATGAACGTGCGGCAGTATCTATCGTGTCGTAAAACTCCGACATTGAATGGGAGAGCTGCGCTTCTTGTGTCATAGACTAGGTCTAGTTGTCCCCGTCCGAACCTTCGACTACATACATGTAGCTTGCTGTTCTAGTTGAATGTGCTCATGTGCGGCTCTTGTCGCAGACCGTTCGATTCTGTTATATTCCGTATATCAACGTTGCACGCTTCGATCTGTCCAACAAGCTGCTCTCAAGGGTTGCCTGTAGCCTCCAAAGGCTCCACGGGGGCGACACACCTTTCACCAACGCCTGCTTGGTAATTCTTCATGGTATGGTCATTTTTCTACGGGCCGTGCCGATCTATTGCGGTCGTTCGACCAAATGTCGCGCTGTACGTCTAATATCTACTCATATGTCGCAGTTTTTTTTTTCCTGGAGTTGGAAGCACGACTGCGCAAAGTAGCGGCCACTCACTCCGGAAGATCCTTCCAGATCGCACCCCTCGCCTCCACCCCCCGCAACGTTCAGCTGTTCAAATCTTCCTTTCCGCCTATCAGTACCGTCATCGTTTCAGCCCACTCTTAACCCTGCGTTTTGCTTCTTCAGGCCGGGATGCTGTTGAAAGAGGCGGTGTGCGGCATGATGCCTACGGTGGCCACGCGGCGTGTGTGCAGCTGCGGCCATGTAAGCGAGGGTGGCGGGGTAGTGATGCCTGTGTGCCGCCAACGCCAAAAGTTGTCGTTCCCACATCCCACAACTCTGGTACCTCAGGAACCCTCACGCATCAAAATCACGCCGAGGTTGGTTGCCCTCGACGTGTAACACTCACGCAAAGCCGAGTCACCACGACGAGTCGTGTTGACAGTCACATGTTTGAAGCGAACGCCTAATCTCCTGCTGCGTGGTCACATCTCTGTGCTTGACCAGGTGCAAGGCTAGGGCCACGGCGTAGAGCCTACAGTATGTCTGGGCACCCTCGTCCTGAAAGAGCGGCCGAGAGCACTGAGTGTTCTTTCACCCCTACCATCCCCGAAACCACGCACAACCTCCTCTTTCACCATCGTTACCTTGGCGCTGTTCCACGTAAAACCATTTTCGCTGAAACGTAGACGTTCAAACGCTCACCACACGTTCAGGTGTCGTCGGGGAAGGACACGAAGGAGCACACCTTGACGGTTCCTTTGTTGTCTGCTGACGGCAACGGCAAGCTGCCTGGGGATGTCAAGGCGCTTCTTACGAAGGTACGGATTTCATTCCGTTGTAGCGTTTTCGTGTAGTGTGTGCCACCGCCGCCTTCTTCGTCGTCGTTACTGTTCGAACCGCACCGATTTCAAGTTCAGTACTTTTTAGTCGATTCGGAGCAAGAGGACACAATTAAAGCGCCGAGTCATGCCGGAGCAACATGACATCCCCCCTTGCTGCTGCGTGCCCCACTTGACCCAATCTCCTGCTCTACAGAAGTTCGCCACGACCAGCCTCTCCCCGTGCTACGCATGCCAGGGACTCGACGAGGTATTATTCCGTGCCCGGTATCGCTTTGTCAATATCTACCTGTGAATTGTTGTCCGTCCGGCGTGCCGTATTCGCCAGGTTTCAATTAGTCCGCTGTGGTCGGTTGTCTGCGATTGTACTTGCTATTGGTTTCGCTAGGTGTAGGCGGGTGAGTGCTGGCGGGTTGGTTCTTGTGTAAAACCGGGGGTCGGGGGAGAGACCGGGTAGGCGAGCTCTGGCTTAAATCAAGATTGAAGGAGCTGCGTGTGCTCAGCGGAGGAGGAAGAGACTCCGCCCGCGACCTCTGGGGTATCGCAGGTCACCTTCCCAGAGGCGAGGTGTTGCGCGGTGGACTCCTGTAGACGTACAAATGTATGCGATTTCACGACAACACCGAAAATGCCATGGTACTGTCGACTGAGGGCACATATCCTGGGAGACGTTGGACCCTGCGGACCCTGCTTCTCAATCCATCACATAGGCTTCAGCTCCACTCCGTACTGATACGCCCCTGCACTCAAGGTGCGAGCCCACAAGGGGGAGTGGTTGGAGATGCTGCGGCATCAGATGGGAGGCACCACGGCAGTATCGGAGTCGGTCGAGGCACCGCAGACGGCGGAGCACGCCTGCTTGTACGACATCGTCGAACTTCTCCTTGACCAGGTTTGCGATGTTGCTGTTCCGGTAACTCAGTGAATAGGTTGCGTCTTGTGTACCGGTTGTTGGGTTTTTACAAGCACTTGTTGTTGGTGCTTTTCACCACAGCTTGAATCCGTCCCGTTTACAGCCAATGTGTGCCCCGTTTCGAAGAAGCCCGCCGTCTGCTCTGGACAACGGTGTGACTACCGATTGACATATTGCCTCTCCCTCGGCTCTCAAAAGATGGCCTGCTGTCTCGTATGTGCACCTTTTTTCGTATTGAATTCCTCACTGTTTTTTCTGGTTCTGATCTGCTTCCTTCCTGTGGTGGTTTCAAGTTGTGCACTGAGCTGCTGTAGCTTCACCCAAGCTGCCCATACTTTCTTTCTTCTTGCCCATGACCGAACCCTGCCCAACGCCGAAGCCTGACTTGCATAGCTCCGCTTTGCAGCGAACAGCCCACACTACGCTGTCAGTGGCCTGCGTGACATCTGTTCTGTTTCTATATCGGGTGGGAGAGAGTGAACGTTGGGCGATGTGCTGCTTTGTTTTCTTTTGGGGGGGGGCCAATAAAGGTTAAGGTCCGTTTCATACACAGCGGTTTGCTTCCACATTTCCAAACTTCCAGTGCCGACTTTCCAGATTTCCTTTCGAAACACCTCTTTCCATATTTCCCGTGCGAGTAGGGTTTTTTTTCCCGGGCCGCACATCGATATTGAACGGTCTGCGGGTTTGGAAATTTGGACATTTGGAAGCGAAATCCAAGACCTAACTGTTTTAAACGGCCCAAAACCCGAGCGTCACTTCAACTCAAGCCTTGTTTCTCTTCATCCCGGCCTTCACGACAACGCCTTTCCTGTCAAATACCATTCATTTTGATGTGCGGTGCGATCGATACTCGCAGACGATGGCAATGCTGAGTCCTAGGCTCGAAGGAGAGTCGAGCGCAAGGAGACAAACGATGGAATCAGCGGCATCTCGGCTGCGGGTAAGTCATTGTTGTTTCTGCACGCACGCACGGCATTGTCCCTGTGGCGTTCTACTCGGGTAGTTCGCATGGGTGTGGTCGCTGGGCACTTTTGACGTCTTGTGGGGGTGTGGCGGCTCTGTAGCCACACGCTCTTGCACTGAAGCTTTGTACGAAAGGCTGCAAGTCGAAACTTGTTGACAGATCTCGGCCGGCCTATCCTCTCGCCGGACCTACCATGTTCACACCCCTTGACGTTTCTGTCGTAAAACCTCGTGTGCAAGCCTGAGTTCACAATGCCCGGTGTCGATCGTCGTGCTTGTTTCAGCCGGTGCAGGTCTTCCGAAAAGAATGAAAGGAATTAAGTCGTGTTTTCAGTGTGGCAGCCGTTTCCAATCAGTGCTTGGGGCTTCGGTCGGATTTCGGCTACACCTGTGTGTCTCGGCTCGCCCTTCACAACTCTCCCGACAATCACGGTCAGGGCTGCGTATGTTCGACACCTCCATAACCGTGTTTCGCTGTGCTACTTGTGTGCTGCCTGTCCACCTACAGCCAATACTCCGTTCAGGAGGGGCGGAGGACGCGATCGAGACGACTCTGGGGGGTGGTGTGGTGGACGACGCGATGATCCTGTTGCTGGAGGTATACTGGTCATTCACAGCCTTCTAAACCCCCGATTATTAGTTGTTTCACTTCTCGTCCGGTATCTCTAATGTATCCTTCTTCACGGCAATGTTCAGTGTTTCATGGCCAACAACAGCTACATGTCAAGTCCTTTAGGTGACGAGCTCGCCCTGCCAACTTGTGTGGGGGTCCGCAACTCTCCGTAGGCTGCTTGCCGATGTGTTCTCCACACCGGCTGTTACAGTCTACCACGTTGCATGCTCATCACCGTTGATTGAGGCCTGGCGTTGCTTAGTAAACGTTTGCGGAAATTCAGACTAAGGTGAGTGTTGCGTGTTCCAATCATTGTGCTCGAAACTCTTTTCCCTCTCAGGGGATCACGCTTCTCGCCCAGACGACCCGGGAGGAGGCCCCCAACCAGAGAGCCGCTGAATACGTGCGGCGGATATCGGAGTCGTTGAAGGGAAAGGCGCAGGTAGAACCGGCGCGGGTTGGGCTGGCTATTCTAAGGGGGGTAAAATCTGTCTTCTTGCTCGTGTCTGGTGCAAATTGGCGCCATTGGTAGGGCGGTGGTGGTGGTGGGGTAGTGTGGAATCCATTGCATGGCCGTTCTGTTGGTTCAAGACGAAGGGATTTGGTCGGTGTTACCGATGAGGAATCGATGTTAATCAGGCCGTGTTATTCGGCCATACGTCGCACAGGTGGACCGTGTGGAACAGAACAAAAGGATGAGGAGGCACGTCGGTTCACCTTTGGCTGCTCGAAAGCGTTTCTAATTCTTGGGGGCATTGCCTAATGAGGAGTTTGGCCATAGTTTCAGTATGAGTCCACTTGGAGCTTAGAAGCCGATCCCTGATGAATCATGTCGTTCATCTCCGCACTCCCCACCCACTATACGCACAGCCAACTGCATTTCTTGTATCGCTTTGTTTTTTCAGCACGACAGCAACGTGGGGCTAAGCTCGATGGAGGAGCAAAGCTGGCTGAAAAAATGCCCGCGGACAGTACTGCTATACTTGATGCGCTTCGCCTACACGACGTGAGCTGTCCTTGGTCGTGGATGGTGCATGGATTTGCGTTATTCTATAGCTGGTTGTTTCCCTGATGTTGGCCGTTGAACTTGGAGGTTGGGTACTGCAGGGTTGCTGCTGTGGCGTCCTGCTCTCGAACCCGCATTCTACGTGGCTTTTCGTCGGTGTTCATGTTGGCCGTACCGAAGTTTGTATTGTTGAGCTTGTCGCCTTCCGTTGAGACCCACATGCGTGTACCCGGAGCGTTCGCAAGCATTTTTCGTCTTTTCTTTTTGGCCCCGATTGTTGACTGTTGTGCTCTGCTTCTTTCCTCATCGACGACGATAGGCGCGGCGAGAAACTGACCCACGATGTCTACATCCCCAAGGAGATCGATATGGCGCCGTACATCGGCCCACCTACCACCAGAGCCGGAGGTAAGATACGTCACACCACCAGGATATTCAATTCACCAGTGCCCACGCCTGAGTGGAATTCCACCTTTCGTCTCGGATCATGCAAGTCAACACGATTTCCAACTTTTTCTCGCCTCAAACCTCATTGCCCTCACCGCATTCTGCTTTTGGCCCGCAGCCCGGCAGCCGGACATGTACGACCTCAACGGAGTCGTGCACCACATCGGCCAAACGACCAACAAGGGGCACTACGTTGCCTTTGTCCGCCTGCCTGGAGAGGGGTGGCTTCGATACGACGACGCCAAAGTCACCGGAGTTACCGACAGTGACGTGCGGACCCAGAACGCGCTCATTCTGTCGTACACTCGCCGATCAGGCTAGGCTTAGTAGTGTAGACCTCCTCAAGGTTTCGTCGTTGCAGCGACAAATGACGACCTCTGATCCGGTACGGTACTTCGGCCTTGCCGAGTAGTCTCTCGGTTGATACGACGGTGCTGTTGGTTGATGATGACGTAGGTCGGCGAGGCCATCGTTGTCGCTCGAGTGGTGGTTGGTGCGCGTTGCGATCCGCAACCTTTAACGATGACGACAGGGTCGGGTGTTGACCGGACTGGCCGTACTCCTCTCGTTTGCCTTTTTGGACTTGCCACACGCAAGAAGTCGGAAAAGGTTGGTGTGATTCAACCAAATAGGTTGAGCACACGAGGATCGAGTGCAGGACTCCTGCCAAACGAATCGCGGATGGGGCAAACATCTATGGTTGTGCGCAGCAGTTGGCTTGCGCCGAACGTGGTGGCTGCCAACACAATCGAAGGGCCACCAATAAAATCAGCCAAAATACCAGTTCCAAATCAAATGTGGCACAGGCGCCCAACTGGACAGCGGTTACGCATATATAGGGAGTCAACATGATACGTACTCTCGAAGACCCTCTGGAAGACTAAAACACCAAGGCTTGCAAATGTTGACCTCTTGCTCAGAATAGCCATATAAATGTATGTACATCCCTCGTGAAGAACAATGAGGCATTATGCCGCCCTTCGCAGGGAATGCTTTTACTAGTACCCAGAGGCGATTTTCTAGGTTGGATCTTGCCGAGCACCTCCCCCCGGTTGAAACACCTGCAACACTTGTTCACCAAAGACATGGTAAAAGCAACAAGCCCCCCCCCTCCGTTTAAATAGAAGGAAGGTACAGGGAGATGTTTGAGGCATGGGATAGCGAGGAAAATACGGTAGCCGTACTGGGGCCTATGAAGTGGGTTGAATAAGCGGGAAGTGATATCGATAGGATAGATAGACTAGGACAGGCATTTTCGAGCCACCTTTGGAAACGTAGGGAGGAACGATTGGCCACCGGTGATCGTTCCTTTGGGAACAATGCTCCGCCCTCTCGAGGACGCGTGGTCAATGGTCTAACCGCTAAAGCATGCAAAACATAAAAGTACACACCCCACACACACCCCTGTTCAAATATATGTACACCCACGAGCGGATCAACTCAATACGAGTGGAGGATTTGCGCTCGACGTCAAGTTCCCGCATGCTCGAAAATACCTCTTTGTGGTTTCACAGACAGTTTATGTCGACGGCAGACTACCAAGAAGTGTGTACAGAAAGCACAACATCATCTGCAACAGTGGGAATCACCAATAGTCTAGTTGTGAACCTCTTTGAGACTACAAAACCACCAAGCCGACAAAAAATACCCGCGCGGCGACTAAACCTCAAAACCATACCCACCCGGTCGACAAGAGGGGGGGCGCGCGGGGCATTGCACCATCGTGCCGCGCAAGTATACATACTCAGTTTTTCCAAACACAGTGTGCCTACGTCAGTAGTGGCAAACGCTGCGTTCAAGTGGGCATCAACTTCATCTTCACCCTCGCGCCGTGATCGCTGGAAACACGCTTGGTACGGTGTAGCCATATGACAAATTTCGGCGCGATAATAATCATCATCATCATCCACACCACATCTTCTCGAATGAAAAGACCAAGGCAGCATCACGCCTACGGTTTTGAACGAAGAACCCTAAGTAGCTAAGGGCGTTGCGTTCGCCTCTTGGCGTGCCGCTCATCGCTTTCCGACATTCTTCTAGTACGCATACCCACGTCAGAGTGTGGTTGGTTCAAGTTCGCGGGGATTGTGTGCCCATGGTTTGGTTTTCCAGCGATAAGTTTCGAAGGAGGAGGCAACAGCAACAGCAATGTCTCCCCGAGGGAGCTAGCTCTACCCAGCATCTCTCTCGTACCAGGTTAGATGCCTTGAGGTATCGTGAATGTGGGGAAAACAGGTTGGAACTACCCCCTCCCGCACGCCCCGGCCGGTTTCTTCGCGGTGTGATATGAAAGGCGTGGCTTCTTCTCGCCGTTGCTAAAAAAAAACAAAGATCATGCCTCCGCATTCCGCCAGTCCCGTGCACAAAACTTGTGAGTGTGCACCAAAAGTGTTCCTGACAAGAGTTCCCGAGCAAAGTTGCAGAAACATTTTGCCCCTTTTTTTTCAACATTCTCCAGGCAACAAAAGTTGTGTCACCATACTTTCTGAGTATTTTTATTTTTGGTGTGTGTGTGTGTGAAGACAACAAAAACAACAGCAACAAGAATTATGTTTTGTTGATCTGCTGAATCGACTGTCTGTGCTTCGCACACGAGTAGCACCGTTCGTTCCAGACACCCAATCACGAAGAAACAAGCCCGAAGCTAACGTCCTCACGTGTTACCGAGCTCTGGTTGTTCCTCGATCGACACACTGCCGGTTCTGTGTTGCTGTCGGTGTCATCTTCCTCGTCCATTACCTCTCCGGCCGCCAGTACCCCCTGCACGTCTTTAGGTTCTCGAATATTTCGTGTTCTTCGGGGACCTTTTTTTTTTATTTTTTTTCGACGATCGAAAGAGCTCGTCATCGACACTCAGTGTGGATTGACACTGCGAAACTTCGTGCACACAGAAACCAGAGTGGTGTCTGCTGCTGTTGGCGTCTGGTATGCGTCAGTTGCAGCGCCCAGGCTCCCGCCTGATGATGTGTGTCGGTCTCTGAACTGGTTGGCTCGAATGCGGTGCGCCCAGAAGAAAAAGCGGCGTAATTGCCAAAATTACTCGAAAATAGACAAGGCGCCAAGCTGATTGGCGGACGCCAAGTTAAATCTGTCCCGGTGGCTTTTTTTGCTGCCCAATAGTGGCAATAGTCCCTTTGTTATAGGCTCAAGAATTCTGGCATTTTTTTTTCTAATCTTCTACGTGCAAAATGATGAAAACCCGAGACAATATAGATCACATGTAGACGAACCGTACCTCCACTCTTGTGGGTCCTGCCCCTACGATGTCTCTATACGATACTCGAATTCACGACTCAGCCAATCCGGTACGAGAATAGCCTCTTCCAAGCTATCTGAAAACCACGCCATTGTGCAGGCTGAGTGTACTGTTTTACTCTCATCTTCCTCCTGTAAGTCCCACGGAAACCGCTTCTGCTCCTTCTCCCGCTTCCCTTACGTACACCATTTGAACGCTCGCGACTTCCAACGCCCAGCCCGCTGAATCTGCAAGTCCGACACGCCTTGCGCGGCTAATTGCGTGGCGCCACCAATGCGACCCGAGTGAAATGCGTACTGTGCCGGATCCTTCCCTGCACAAGCAACCATCCTCCTCAGCGCGACTACAGCTTCCCCGCGAGTAACCACCTTCCACCCGTATGCACCCATCCTCGTCATCAAAGGGGCACGTCCGGGAAGGCTCGGGTGTACGTTCAGGAGCTCCACGATCGCTTCGAAGGCTCCGAAAGGCGCCCTACCAGATTCCTCCGATCTCGGGCTGCGGGTGCGTGTGATCGTGCATCCCTCTCGATTCTGATCTGCTTTTGACGCCACGAAATGAATCCTGACTGAATCCGCGCGCGCTCTATCTTCACTCTCCACTTGAATGTCTCCTTGAAAAAACCTCAAGCAGTCACGCGTCAAACAGGAATCTGGATGGACGAGGCCGTTCGCGTACGCGAACAATTCTGAAGCTCGGCACAAGAGAAAATACGACAGCGTCAGTCCTAACCAGAAAACTTTTCCTCCATCCGGAGCGCTCGCAACCGTATGGTAGCCTTGCGACAACATCGACCACGTGAGGGGCAGCCTCACTTGCGCTTGCTTGCCCGTCATCCCTCGAATGCGATCAATCCCTTTCCCCGCCGCCGTAACCATACAGTGCGACGTGGGAGGCTCCCACCCCGTACATAGCTTATGGTAAAACTTGATGGCCGCGAGGTATCCCCGAACTGTGGACTGCTGGTTGTTGAACGAAAACAAACGACACGTCATAAATTCGAGGAGGAGCGCGATGATCTCGGGCTCGTCCATCGAGTTCAACCACGGTTCTTTACCCTTGTGTTTCATGAAATCCAACAATGTCTTCCACTTCGCGGCATACACCTTGTGCGTGCTTCCCCCGATCGACGCGCTCACTAAAGTATCCACCAACCGCGCGACTTCCGTGCTCATCCCCCCTCCTTCCCGCCCTGTTCCTGAAGCGTCCGTAAGCGGAGGGTTCGAGGATAACGTTGGAGGTCACGGGGGTTGTTTTGTCGATGATTTTTAGTGATGTGTCATCATGAGATTCCATAACGTTCGATCGTGACGGGGTTGTAGGTTCTTTTTCTGGAGCACGAAGGAACACACTTTTTCTCCGCGTGAACCGAGTGGTATCTCACGCCAATCGTTTGTGTTGGTGAATCTTCGGACCCTATCGGCTAGTTCCGACCTCGGCCATCGAGAAATCCCGTCCGCGAGCGTGTTTTGTACGCCCGGGATGTGTTTTGCCTCGTAACTCCATTCTCCCGAAATCTCGAGTCGTCCTAGCATTCTCATCATCAAACACGCGCGTTTGTCTCTGGCCCCGCCGCACCGGTTTGACCATGTGACGGCCGCCATGTTGTCACCGCGCATCAAGACGGGGTCGTTGTTATTTTTCGGGCGATCCCCTACGAGACTGTGCATTACCCAGGCGGTCATGACCATGCCCACGAGTTCGAGTAGATTGATCGTGACGCTGCAGGTCTCCCGACGCGCGGCCTTTTGTTTCAATTCGGTTGCGAAGCCCAAGGGCGAGTCGTATCTCCAATACACCCTTTTCTCTGGACAGAAGCCGCCAATGGCGTCGAAACTAGCGTCTGATAGATAACGTCGTTTTGGCTGGCGTTTTACGACACCGTAGCACGGGGCGTTCAGCGACTCTCCAGCTGTGAGCAATTCGTGTTCGATTGCCCACCTGAAAAAATCCAGGTCGTCGTGGAACTCTCTCCCTAGTTCTACAACGTGGCTACAGTTTCTCGTGTGTTTTCTGTGGAGTCCTGTGAGTCTCAACAACCTCCAGACGAAGTACTTTCCGGCCCGAACCACGTACGTGAGGTTCCACAGCTTCCCGGCTATGCTAAACACTTCTTGCGCTGTCGCTTCACGCTTGTGGCGCGGCCAGTCGATTTCTAAGGCTGTTTTTAACACCTCTGATTTCTTCGTCGTCAAAGAGATTTTTAGCTCGTGCGAGTCGATGACGAACCCTAAGAATTCAAGCTGCGTGTCCCAATCCGAACTCTTCTTCGGCGCGAGTATAGGAGTCTCCCCCGGTTCTCCCGGGCCGAACAAGCGAACGTAGTCTGATGCTAAAGACGCGGACACGGTCAGCGCTGACAAGTCGTCGGCCGATTGCTGGGTTCTCAGGAGGCCGTGATCATCTACGTAAACGACCGACATGAAATTGCTCGACCGATCGCCTCCTTTTGTGGCGTGAACTGTGGCGTCATCCGGCACGGGCGTAGGGTCGCCTTCCTCCCACGGTTCGACGATTTTTACGTGCTTCATCATGTTTACTCCTTCGGGCAGCAATTGCACGCTGTCGAGATTGGTATTACAGTGCGAGTGTTCAGCCGCGGACGCCATAACTCCGAAATGTCCCGGCGAGCCGGTCCAACCGAAAGTCAGGCGGAAATCGATGACGACGAGGTCGTCGACTACGTAGCTGAAGTTGTGTGCTTGCTCAGGTTCTACTCGAACGTTGCGATAGGCGTCGTTGACGTCCGTCGTTGACATGAGGATGCGGAGCTTCGGGTTTTTGGCTCGAAGGCTAACTAGCTCCGACAGGAATTTTGGCAGGGCTTCGGCGCAGAGGCTAGGGGGTACACTGTCGACGTCTGTGTCAGCGTTGAGACCTCCTTTTACTCCTTTGTTGTCAGCGTCGAAAGACAAGTCGTTGACTATCCTAACCTTGTGGGTAACGACCGCTCCCAGCGGCGACACGCGGAGGTTTGGGATTTCATACGCCGCCGATTTTTGAATAACGAGGCATCTCTCTCTTCGTACATCCTCTGCGAGTTTCTTCCAAATGAGTGGTAGGTGCTCGTCAGCCGACCGGTGGTTTCCGTAGTTCAGTGCGCTTGCAAGGTCCGCTTTAGACGGGGGGGCACTCACTGGTACCCCTCCAGTAACGATTGTCATCAGTTCTTCGATCTGTGGAAAACCTTTTAGGTCCCCAAAATATTGTCTGACGTGGTTCGTGTCTACCGGTGGTGTGACCAGGGTTCCGCCGAGCGACCGTGCTACCTTCCCTACCGAACCACGGTTGTCTCGCATCATTTGTGTGCAAACCTCTGCTAGTTGATACAGAATTCGTTCTCTCTCTGGTTGTTCGAGGTTTGTTTTTCCGAGTGTTGCTCTGTCCTCGTGCCACCTCGCCACGTGTTTTCGCTGTGTTTCACTGCGCCCTTGGCCATTGGGAATCGGTGATGACCCGACGTGGGGAGGGCTACGATGACGCAAGACTCGTTGTTCCGTGCTGTAGGTCGAGCGCAGTCCTACAGGAGGTTGTATACTGCGCTGGAGCTGCTGCGTGGGGGTAAAGTGTGCGTGGTGCGTGAGAGACGGTTGTCGTCGTAGTGCCGACCCTTGGACCTTTGCTGGCAGGGTGGGACTTCGAGGACAGGTCGTGTCTGACGCGCCAGGCGCGGTGACCGAAGTTAGAAGCGTCGATCGTGCCTCGTCTGGTACACGTGCCTCGTGGGATTGTGTGCGAGACGGGTGTTGCGCCGCCGCTGACGCGTTCAAGGCTGCTGGCGGCGGTGGAGACGTTGGCTGCCGCGCGTCTGACACTGAATGCCCCGGGGGGCGTGTGAGAGGCGAGGCGAGCCCCGTGTCCGAATCGCCGACTTCTACGGGTTGTGGGAGAGACGAAAGTCTCCCTGTGTCCGACACAGCTACTTCTGCGGCTTGTGTGGGAGACAGGTGACCTGACATGTCTACCATTCTGGTAAGCGGTGATGCCTGTCGGCCTGCTTCGCGTGTTCGTGGCGGGATCTCGTCAATTCGTGTAGGGAACGGTGGTTGTGTCGACATTTCGAGGGCGCTGGGCCTGGAGTGTGGGGACAACCTACTATCCGATCGTAAAAGTGGGCGAGATTCGGCTACGTCGAGGTTGGTGGAGCTATCAGACGGGTGCGTGTGGTTGGTCCACCTATACCTTGCTGCGCGACCGCTATTGCTCAACGTGAGTTGTGTATTGCGCTGGAGCTGCTGTGTAGGGGTGAAGTGTGCGTGGTGCGTGAGAGACGGTTGCCGTCGTAGTGCCGACCCTTGGACCTTTTCTGGTAGGGTGGGACTTCGAGGACAGGTCGTGTCTGACGCGCCAGGCGCGGTGACCGAAGTGAGAAGCGTCGATCGTGCCTCGTCTGGTACACGTGCCTCGTGGGGCTGTGTGCGAGACGGGCGATGCGTCGCCGCTGACGCGTTCAAGGCTGCTAGCGGCGTTGGAGACGTTGGCTGCCGCGCGTCTGACACGGAGTACCCCGGGGGGCGTGTGAGAGGCGAGGCGAGCCCCGTGTCCGAAACGCCGACTTCTACGCGTTGTGCGAGAGATGAAAGTCTCCCTGTGTCCGACACAGCTACTTTTGCGGCTTGTGTGGGAGACAGGTGACATGACGTGTCTATCTTTGTGGTAAGCGGTGATACTCGTTGGTCTGCTTCGCGTGTTCGTGGCGGGATCTCGTCAATTCGTGTAAGAAACGGTGGTTGTGTCGACATTTCGAGGGTGCTGGCCCTGGAGTGTGGGGACAACCTACTATCCGATCGTACAGGTGGGCGAGTCTCGGCTACGTCGAGGTTTGTGGAGCTACCAGACGGGTTCGTGTGGTTGGTCCACCTATACCTTGCTGCGCGACCGCTATTGCTCAACATGAGTTGCTCACCGTGAAACAGGGCCGGCGAAACCGACCCCGGCGTGGGCGCGTCCCGAGGCCCCACGGACCTGGCGACGTCGGCGAACCAGGTACCAGCGTGTCCTGACTCCCCTCCCGCACCTACTGTCGGCCCTGCCGTATGGCAGAGCCCAACCTGTCAGAAACCTCCCCTCCCCCCACCGCCCCTCCCTCCGGCGCCGCGCCCCTGGTTCCCTCCTCCACCGCCCCTGCCGCCGTTGACCGTCATGCTGAAGTTGCCCACGTTGGGCTGGCGGAGCTGCTGCTGCTGCTGCTGCTGCTGCTGCTGCTGCGATGGTAGCGGCTGCGGCGCCGCTGCCTGCTGCGGCGGGGCCTGCGGGGGTGGCGGGACATGCGGGGGTGGGGAAGCGGCGGAGGTGGCGGGGGCGGGACCGGCGTGTACGCGGTGGAGTTGGCAGTCTGGAGTGCGGCACTGGCGGCTGAACCACCATCCCTTGCAAAAACCGGGGGGGCACGTCGGGGTCGTGGTCGTGGTCCGCTGCCGCTTGGTTGTCGCTGTCTTGGCCCCGGCCGTTCCGCTATTTCCGCTTTGCACTCGTGGCGGGGGCGAGGGCGGCGGCCACGGTGGGGAGAGGCCATTGGGCTGCCTTTTCCGCGAGACTCTGGGTGTGATCTTCCTCGAGCAAGGTCTTAAGGAGCTTGAATCGCGGAAATGGGACGGCATCCGTGGCGTCCGCGGTGGGGGGGCCGTCCTGGTGCGTCCGGCGTAGGTCATATGCCATCTTGTGTAAAATGCGGAAACCGTCTTCCAAGCCGCGGTTGATGGCATCCAGGAGGGCGTTGCGGACCCGGTTTTCATGGGGCTGAAGGCCTGTGTAGTGGAGGGTGAGGTACGTAGCCAGCTTCCTTGTAATCGATGCGAACTCCGCCCTCCAGGCCGCGACGCGAAGCTTGGCATTCTCCTCGGCCGTGTCCATGCCGTACTCGATCGTTTTGAACAGCACGGTGATGAAGGTGTCGAAGTGGACCGTCACGGGCATGGCAGCGAGGGCGGCGTTGGCGGACTTGGGCGGGAAACAGTGCTCGATTTTTATGTCCGTCAGGCTGCACATCTGTTTCCCTCCCTGCTCTGTGATGTGTGAGTATTCGCCGGCGACCATTTTAACGAAGGGCACGTCGACCGGGGCGCGAGTGTCGAATCCGCCCCGCGCGAGGAGCCACAGGGGGCCCGTCGCTTTCCAATCCTCAGCCCTCAGCTTCAAAACGATCAAGGCCCTAACTTCCACGCTCCTTCCTCTTGCTTCCTCAGCTAGTTGTATGACTGCACTAGCGTTCTCTTCCCCGAGACGCGGGTGCACAAGAAGACTGAAGACTTTGCACGCAGGGGACGCTCAGCACCCGTCCCCTGCTTTCTTTCGAATTCAACAAACGCCTTCCAGAAACAACGCTTTCCTTCTGAACGCTACATTTTTCAGAAAAAAAAAACGGCAAGTACCGCAAAATGAAGGAGAGGAGAACATGGTCTCCCCGGTTTTCCTTCTTCTGACTCCGGCTGATGATGCGTGCAGAATAAAACGTACCAACAGGTTACGACAAACGCAAGTGCAGAATGAATGGGACGACACACGCACAGCACACGTGCACCCAGTGCACAAGTTTGAACAGCATGAGCGTAAACACGCGCACCCGGAGATATATTGTTCGCCACGCCCAATTTCACGCAGCATGTTAGATATACTCGTAGCATAGTAAATGTGGTTGAATATGGGGCATGGATCTACGGAGATTGCAGTTGGTAGATTGCGGAGGAACAGGGAGTTTCTGCTTGGTTTCTTCGGAGATTCAATGAGTGATCTGAATTGCGTGACGGATAGGTGTGGTGACGCTCTCTTCGGTTGCTCACTCTCTTTTGTTCTCTGCTGTTCCCTCTTCCCTCTAATACAAGACTTTCCCATCTCGGCCCTCACCGGCCGAGTAGCCTTTCTCCACAAACCTACAAGCTTCGGCCTACCCGGTTTATCCAACACGCTAGCGTTAACGACTTTGTCGAGGGTGATTGGGTAGCACCGATGGGCAGCCGCATGCGCGGCTGACGACATCCAACCAGACGAAGAGGCCAACAGCGGCGAGGGCCTGCACAGCAGCAGCACCCACAAGACCTACAGCAGCGCTCCCAAGACCTACAGCAGCGCCATCGTTAGCTGAAGCCCGCCGTCTACTGGGCTTGTAGGCATGAACAGGCACGTGATGACTTGTCAGTTTTCGACTGCTGTCGTTATGTGTACACACACCCATCCATGCGGTGATGCGGTACGCCTACCTACATAGTGCCGTCAGATTCTAAACGCGGTATTACGCCGTGCGGTACTGCCGTCAAACACCAACGCTTACTCCAACTCCACCTCCACCCGGTACTGCCGTCAAACTCTCTCTCCAACTCTTTCTCTAGAATAATCGCGGCAACACGCTGCGCGGTAAAGCCGTCAAACACCAACAACACTTGCTCCATCAAAACGCGACAATACGTCGTGCGGTACAGCCGTCAAACTCCACCGCTCGGTCAAAGGCCGACTACCTGTAGCAAATGGGTAGACACAATCCAGGTTACCAGTAATCCTCAAAAACTGATGCCAGTTTCTAAACTGATGATATTGTGTGTGCGTGTAGCATGGTATTAGAAATAGTATTGTGCGTAATGTAATGCTGCAGTGATTGGCGAAGTTTTGTGCTTTGTCTTCCTGACAGCCGTGCTGAGACCAACTTTCTCTCGCCGGCAACAACGTGATCAACGTTTTATCTGGGCTCTTTTTGGTAGCTACTTTTTGAGCAACAGGTTTAGCCTGATCAAAAATTCGTGATCAACGTTTTATCTGGACTTTCTTTCGGTAGCAGGTTTAACCTGATCAAAAACTTTTCATGTCTTGGTTGTGTTAGCGAGTACCACAGACGTGTGAAGTCTCAGCGACGTGCAACATTGATTGGTACATCCACCTTGTTGCAGATTAAAAATCCACAATATTGACGAAATAAATGCTGATTTCCGAATATTGCTATACGTTGTCTTGAGGTTGCTATTTGTTATGAGATTGCGATTCCAAAGTTGTGAAAGTTTCGACTTAGGATTGATTACCCTTTGTTTGGAACAGGAGCAGCGGCTGAATTATGATTTTGTGATAGAGGACTAATCAACCTCCGTTTCAGGGTGATACTCAGGTATCTATGTATTGAATTGCAATGTCGCAGTGATCGGTAATTTCAGACAAACATTGCACAAGTAGGGTCCGACGACTTGAAAGTGTATTTCATTTATTTATTGTTTTTTCTGCTGCAGTCACTACTGTGCAGAACCGGGGGGAATGTTGGTAGTATGTGATTCTCTTCAGTAGTGCTGGTTTGTTCGGAACTAATCTGCCGCCATCTTCCCCTCCAAACGCGCGACCTGCCCTGCACCACCGCCGAGTCAATCCTCCCGGGAGCGACAAATGTTCTTCCCCCACTTCAGGCGGACGCAAAGATCCAAGCTCGAGTCGCGGCCAGCCGGAAAAGATGAAAGACGGAAGGCGACCGCGGCGAAGGCGTGCGAAATATCCGCTGGGGGGAGAGAAACAATGGCTTGGGCAATGGGTTAGCGCTGGAGCTTGATGGGCCGGCAAATGTAGGAGTTTCGAGTGTTATTTGTTTTGGTATTGAATTGGAGGATTTTCGAGTGTTGATTGTTTTGGTATTGAATTGGAGGGTTTTCGAATGTTCTGTTTTGGTACTGGATTGGATTGTATGTTTTGGCATTGAATTTGATTTGGTTTTGGTGTTCGTCGGGATTTATTTGCAGGAGGATTGTTTTTCTTGGGTTTCGACTGGATGAACATTAAATGTTGTTCTTTTGTTCTATGGTTCAGACTCCAACCCCTTCTAAACTCACGGGGGCGAATCTCCCAGAGCAGGGGGGCGCGTTGTTCTTTCGGAAGGTATTTACCTGTAGGTGGTACTAGGTTTCTAGAGAGACACAATAGGAATACTCACGTATTTTCTGCGCAAATGATCTTCACGCTGAACGAATGTTTGAGGATGGATGTTGTTTGATCGGACATGTGAGAGTAAAAAAGGATCCATACCATACCCAGCTGCGTTTTACCTGCAAATGGGCATGTTCATACTTACTTCTATTTTTGCGAAATTTGTGTTGTCTTTGTAGGATTTATTTGTAGACGGATGGATGGATGTACTGGAAGCACAACGAAGGCGAATTTCTACGAATTGATCCGTGTTTTCGAAAGTGGACGTAATGACGAGTGTCACAGATAGGTTTGGTTCGATGGATTGTTTAATGCTTCGGTTGTGCGGGGGATATTAGTACTTTGCGGGTGTCGTTGTACTGAGAAAGGATGGACCAGAAGAAGAGCGTTTTTCAGAGAAGGAATGAAGGCGATGAGACAAGACGTTGTGAGTTCAGGAAAATTTGCATCATCGAGTTCTTGGTTATTTGTGTGTCATGGAGGAGTAGGACCTACATTTTGGGTCGTAGATGGAATTATATTGACTTGCCGTTTCATTACGATGCATACGAGCAGGGGGGCTGTTAGATATACTCGTAGCATAGTAAATGTGGTTGAATATGGGGCATGGATCTACGGAGATTGCAGTTGGTAGATTGCGGAGGAACAGGGAGTTTCTGCTTGGTTTCTTCGGAGATTCGATGAGTGATCTGAATTGCGTGACGGATAGGTGTGGTGACGCTCTCTTCGGTTGCTCACTCTCTTTTGTTCTCTGCTGTTCCCTCTTCCCTCTAATACAAGACTTTCCCATCTCGGCCCTCACCGGCCGAGTAGCCTTTCTCCACAAACCTACAAGCTTCGGCCTACCCGGTTTATCCAACACAGCAAATCCTTGCCTGACAAACACCAAGTTCGGAGCAACGGAGCGCTGGCGAGATGCGAGATGGACCGAAGAGTTTAAGAAGGCACGTCTGTTGGTTCTAATTTCTAATTTTTGGTTCTGGAAGCTGATTGGGCGCAAGGGCTCCCTCTCTCACTCTGCTCGGGCGCATATCCCCGTCTCCCTCCTCTCTCCTTACCTCTTCTCCGTCTCCTCCCTCCCTTTCGCCGGTCACCAACAAAGTCGACTGCCCGTCCCGCGCCCAACACCCGATTACAACGTGAGTCCTGTTTCTCGCGTACTCGTGCCTCATCTACACATGTACTGCGACAGCCGTCAATACCAACCCCGATGAACCGGCAGGCTCTGGCTAACCCTATCCAATTGCAGAGTTTCCTGCATCTTTGGTTCTGCCGATATCTACCGCCACTGCGCTCCTTCCTGCTGTTACTCCCTGTGCTACTGCTGCTGCACTCTCATGTAGTGTTGCTGGAAAACGGGCCATGTACAGCAGCGACTCGGACACAACGAAAATTCAAACTTGTTAGATTGCTCCGGCGGATCATCAATCACCAGTTGTGGTTCAAATGAGGTTGCATGGCATCTTTCTGTCTGGCAGTAGTATGGACTTGTTTGCAGCATGTGGTGCTCCAGACGCTGTGTGTGCTATGCTCCAAACTCTCTGTGTGTTATCCTCTGAATGAAGTACGGGGTTGCACGTGTAGTCGATAGCGGGAGAGCCAAAGCGACACGTGTTCGCGAAACCTTCCTTGCCAAAAAAACTCGCCAATTGTTCCACAAAAAGAAATCGGCAAAAGAAATCGGCACAGCAACGATACCCTTGAGTGGTGACTTCAGATTGTCCGCGTAGGCACCACGCAGCGATAGGGTATCTTGTCCAGAAACGCAGGCTGATCATTTCCTCCGACCTGCCGACGGAGGAATGCAAAGAGTTTCGCTGCTTTGTTACAAGTCTAAGCTGGCGTTTACCGTTGATCTCTCCATTTATTTCTCCTTCTTTCTTTATCTCTCTCTCTCTCTCTCTCTCTGTGATACATTCACAAACGCATCAACTCCATCATCAATCATGTGCATTGCTGCTCCGCCCGACTATGATGTGGCCTCTGGAGGGGCGGAAGTGTACTCGTCCAGGACGAAGAGCGCCTCTGACCTGTTTGATGGATGTTTCCCACGATTGATCAGAAGGGGATCCTTCTCCTTGCCTTCGTCCAACACATTTTCAACAGATCGCACTGTCACCCGTTTTGCCCGCATTGCCGACTTTGTCGACGAGTTTAGAATTATTCTGAGCAACATCAGCACGGTCCTCTCCTGGAAACGGGAGAATGAGGGTGCTTGCCTGTGCTCTGGCAATCTGGGCGACTGGCGTAGCCAACGGTGAGCATTGGAAGACTAAGAGTGTACTTCGAGCATGAGCGTAAGACACGCCCAAACTGGGAACCGGGCCCAACCTAAATAAAACAATTTTTTGGTGCGACCGGAAGAATAATACACAAACCATACCCCGTACCGCATTCCGACCAATCACATGTCGATTTTGGAGGACATCGTGTAGGACGGAGACAGATGATTGGCTGACGGTCACGCCGCCGAGGGGAAATCCCCCGAAAGACGTAGCACGCCAGCAGCACGTGCACATGTAGACAAAACACGAGACAACCAGCAGCAGCACACGAGACTATTGTAGGCCAAGGGGAGCCAAAGAAATCATAGGAGGGGTCGGGTGCGACCATCAGAGTCCGTTGCTTGCTGTCAGCAGCACAACAAGCGAGGGAGGCGACACAGGTTAATCTGCTGTTTGTCTCATCTATCTGCAGGCCGATCTTTGAGCTTCCAACACAGATGCACCCCCAAAACAGAGACGAAAAGACATACACACTGCTGCAGGCCAAGGGCGGCCAAAGGAGCACATCGCACGAGGCGTCGAGAGCGATTATTGAAGCCCGTTGCCTGCTGCTAGCAGCGTATTAGCGAGGGAAGCAAGTGCACACAAGTCATACAATTCGCGGTCTGTCTTCGTTGTCGGCATGTCGATCTTTTCCTCCACAACAAACGCACCCCAAAACAACTCAAAACAGAGAGACAATGAGACGTGCACACTGCTGTAGGCCAAGGGCGACCAAATACACACATCGTAGGAGATGTCGGGGGAGGTTTTTTAGCCCGTTGTCTGTTGTTACAAAATTGTAGGAACGTAAGCGAGGGAATAAAGTAGTGCACATCCACACAGCAGCAGAGCAGCGGCAGGAAGGAAGCAACTGATTGATTGATGAGGGCTTCATTAACACCAAACAGCACTCTCACTCGTCCCCGCGCTGCTACACATCTTGCATATGCGTCTGACTGCTGGTGTTGGGTGATGCGTGAGCGTGTGCAGTGGCAGTGGTGGCCTCAGTGTGCTGGCGTAGGCTCCATCCATATGTATCTACACGCCTGTTTGCCTCTCTCTCTCCGCCCCTTCTTTTTCGCGCTTCGCGCGAAATACAATTTTTATTTTGGATACCTATGTATGGGAGGTTATCCCAAAACCGTATACCCTGGGCTTGGCTGAAAAACCTAGGCAGGAAACTACTCCGGTCCGGTGCGATAAATATCCAACTACTGTGCGGAACAAACGAATGTCCGTGTGCACCCTGTAACTATATTCAATATTTCATTATACTATCGGATTCTCCACTCGCCGCAGGCCTAGGCGCTCCTTGCATACACACGGTTTCCCCGGGATTTCGCGTTTCCCTTTTTTATCACTCGCGAAACTCATGACCTCCCTCTCCCATTCGACGTCCATGTTCCAAAAGGAATCAATTCGTGCCTGGACCCCCAACATGAAAGCTACCAGTGCGCGTCGGGCGCGACGTACATGTGAGCACAACAATGCACAGGCGAACCTTGGCGTTTCGGACCTCTGTATAAAGAGGTACACATTTGTTGGTACGTCCCATGGAGCGAGAGAAGCATGTAACGAAGAGTGAGGAATAGCGCTCCAATTTCCACGTAGGCTGCACCTCTGATAGTGGAGGTGCCGACTTGTCTTTTCAACTGGGGTCAACCCCTGCTTCCCGACGTGTCCGTCGGACACGTTTTTCTCCACTCTGCCTTTTATTACATGGTTCACGTCACGTTCGTCCCACCACGGCCCGAGCGAACAGTACACTGACGGAAGACTCCTGTGGAGATGGGTTGACTGACTCGGACGTAGATGACGTGGCGGCGTGCTTCGACAACACAGGACGGACCTCGGTCACCAAGATGTGAGGAGCGTCTGGGATATGGCACACTCTTCACGTAAATAGCCATCTGTTGTAGGTGACGTATTCTTCGTCGCGAGTCCCCGCAGGCAGAGTATGTCGATGCAGAAGGTTCGGTGCTAAGTTCAGGAATCAAGATGTCAGCGTAGGATATTTTCAACTGCTCGGAACCAGCCCAGGGGTTTCAGGGCTTCAGACGTTTCCGGCGGCTGCTAGATATCCTGCACAAACTCATATTCCCGAGGGATTTTTTCACACACAGCACACACCTTACCCGCGCAGGACTTGCAGTCGAGTGGACAAGAAGAATGGTTGCAGTAGGCTAGTGGTTTGATCATCAAATACCCATTGTTGACACTTACCCTCACTGCCAGCCCAACGAGGGCTACCGCAAACGGAAACGTATTCGCTAATGTGGAACTTGTGTTTTGTGATCGCTGACGGTACACGTGGTGTTCCGGTGTCGCAGGTGTCGCAAAATGACTTTGTAGGGTGCCTCTTCGTGACCAACCATATGTTGCCGTTGATTTCCACATTTCTTGGGATGCGCACCTTCATCACTCCCCGATTCTCCGTCTGCTCTATGCGGTATTAATCAGCGATCTGAGTGGCAACCAGCTCGCTTCGCTTCCAGCGGGGCTTTTCAACGGTCTGGATGCACTGCAAGAAATGTAAGCTGTGTACCGCCTCGTGTTCCTTGCTTTCTGTGCAAATCATTCACCTGAGCTACACAACTCGACCTGCTTGGTCGAGAGTACAAAGCTCCATCGGCGAGAGCACCAATAATTGTGGGTGGGGGGCACCCGTGCAGTGGGCTAATGGTATGACAGTCAAATGCACGTTCTTGTTTCACAAGCTCATTCCCGGCACAACGGGAGCTACCCCAACGCGAAAGCTTTCGTTGATGTGAAAGGTGTGCGTAGTGTTCGCTGACAGTTCACGTACTCTTCTGATGTCGCAATAGCTTGTTTGGGTGCCTCTTGGTGACAGACAATATCTTGCCGTTGATTACCACATGTTTTCTGGATGCTCACCGTCATCCCTCCCTGTTGTGCGTTTACTGTGTGGTTCAAATCAGATATCTGAGTTCCAACCAGCTCGCCTCCCTTCCCGTGGGGCTTTTCAACGGTCTGGATGCGCTGCTATCAATGTGAGTTGTGTCACACCTTGGTTCCTTTCGGTGCAACTCATCTACCTGAACTACACAACGCAACCCGTTTGTTCTAGAGTATCGATCTCCATCCACCAGAGTCCCGCATCGTGTGGTCGAGAAGCACTCTTGCAGCAGGCTAGTGATCTGACCGTCAAACGTCCGTTGTTGTTTCCCACGCTCATTGCCCGCACGGCGGGAGCTACCGCAGCGCGAAAAGCTGAGTTGGCGATCGCTGACGGTTCTCGTGCTGTTCCGTTGTCGCACCAGCTTCGTAGGTTGCCTCATAGTGACAAAATATTGAAACCATCTTTTCTGAACACGCACCGTCGTCCTTCCCCCTTTTCCTTTGCTCTGGACCGCGCAAACCAGCCTTTTGCATGACAACCAGCTCGCTTCGCTCCCCGCGGGACTTTTGGACGGTCTGGATTCGCTTGTATTTCTGTGAGTTGTGGTATGGCTTGTCTTCCTCTCGGTGCAACTCATCCACCTGAGGTACAGAACGCAAGCAATGTTGTTCGACGGTGTTGAATTCCATCGGCGAGACCACTCAATAGTGCTGACGGCGAGAACACCTGAGGTAGGGTAGTCGTTGACTGTCAGATCCCGTCTGTGTAACCTACGCTCACCCTCCGCACATTCGGAGCTTCCGCAACGTGAAAGGCTTTTGCTGGCGTGTATCTTATATTTGGTGATCGCTGATGGTTCGCGCCCTGCTCACGCTTTTTGGGGCGACTCTTGGTGACACACGCACTGTGTTGCCGTTGATTCCCATCTATTCGTATCGCAAACCGTCGTCCCTCCCCGTCTTTTATCTGATTGGTGCGGCACAAATCAGCTCTCTGTATGGCAACCAGCTCACTTCGCTCCCGGCGGGACTTTTCAACGGGCCGGATGGACTGCAATCTCTGTGAGTTGTGTGGCGCTTCGTCTTCCTCTCGGTTCAACTCATCCACCCTAGCAACGTGTCCATCGGTGAGATCACCACATAGAGTGGACAAGAAGAGCGCCTGCGATTGGCTAGTGGTTGGTCGTCGACTATCCGTTTTTCCTACCGACGTCCACTCCCCGGACCACGGGATCTACCACAACGTGAAAACCGTTCGCTGATGCAGGGCGTGTTTCGGGTGATCGCCATCGTTTTATATGGTGTTCTGATGTCGCATCAACTTTGAACAGTGCCTCTTGGTTATATGTTATGCTGTCTCCACGGACTAACGTCTATTCTGAACGCGCACCATCACCCCTCCCCGATTAATCGTCTGATGCGTGCGGCACAATCAGCTATCTGAACGACAACCAGCTCGCTTCGCTCCCCGCGGGACTTTTCGACGGTCTGGATTCGCTCTCTATTCTGTGAGTTGTGTGGCGCCTTGTCTTCCCCTCGGTGCAACTCATCCACCTGGGCTGCAGAACCTGTTCGCTCGACGGTATCGAACTCCATGGCTCGAGAAACGCACCGAGGGGACGAGAAGAAGGCTTGCAGTAGGCTAGTGGGATCAACGTCAAATTACCGCTCTTGATGGACCACGGGAGTTACCTCTTTGCCGAATGCTTTCGGTGATGCGGAATGCGTGTTTGGGGGTCGCTGACGGCTCACATGCTGTCCCCGTGTCGCACCAGCGTGGTAGGGCGCCTCGACTCTACAGTAGTGTATTAGCTGAAGAAAGACATTTCGACTGTCTGTGAACATGCAATGAGTACTCGTCTGCGATGAAATTTCGTTCGTCTTCTTCTGGCTCGGGCTCTTGCGATTGTCTACAGTAGAGCTGCGCTGGAACGTTCTTCATGCCTATTTCACCGCAACAAAACAGTGTTGAAATACATCCCGCCAAGCCCCAGTCAGCGGGGAATGCATGCCCAGAGCGAATAAAGTTCACCTTATTGTCGAGCGTTCGCGTATCAGGCCTGTGATATGGGTTTACTTCTGAACGTACCACCCCAACGGTTGCTTGTAGCGAGAACAGCGCCTTCTTTCATGGAATAATATTATCACAGTCGTGGCGGCAACTGAACGTGATGGGTGGCGAAACGAAGTAAAACACGTGTTAGGTCCCACTGGCTACACCTCTCCGGCATGAATCCCTTCATACCTGGGCGCTATAGTTGATTTCATTGGGACTGGCACCTCGTGTCTCGGATTGTAATGTTTCCATATTGGGGCGGGACTGTTATTACGACACCCTCAATCTAACAGATTGAGGCATCATTTGGCAAGGTGAACCAACTCATTCGTGACGGTCGCGGTGTGTCGTGAATCGTTCGAGCATTGATTGCGTTTGTTGCCTCGCCCTCGCCCAATGTACCTGTCTCTGACGTTCGTTTGCTTCTCTTTGCTCCATACAGGAATTTGCGGGGGAACGACGGGTTACAGTGCCTACCCTCGTTGACCGGGTGAGCAACCGTCGGTGGTGCGGCGTCTTTTGAGAAGCTTTTCGTGGCACAAGTCACAGTAGAATATGATACCGTTGTTTCCGTAACGTCATCTGCATATTCATACGGCAACCATGGAGCGCATTCCTGAGGAGCTAAATGTTGCGCTGGCTACTTCCATGGCCGAGGGTCCGCGGCGCGCCTCGCATCTAGAGGGGCGCCCTCCTGTGTACGGAATATATTCTCCCCGAGGATATGATAGATTTCCGCAAGCGAAGCTGATGTCGGCTTGTAGTATTGAGTAAAGCTAGCAAGCTTTGTCTTGCGGACTTGCCATGGACAGGAGGTCAAACGTCCTCGCCTCACCTCAAGATGCCCTTCTCTCTTCGCTGCCTTCTCCATGTTTCAGATCACCTGGTCTCACGGACAAGCTGTACCTCCCAGATGGCTTTGAGGAAGGCGTCATTTGCTGTGAGAAACGTCAAATAATATCCACTCTCTTACAGCTAGCTTCGGTTGGCAGAAACGTTGATGTTTGGTAGCAAGAGGTCAACTTACTCCTCTGTGAACACAATAGGTCAGAAATACATTTTGAATATTCCTTTATCTTCGGTTCCTTAGAGGAACATGGTTTGCACGGTAACGCAGCGAGGGAGCACTGCCGAGTCCAGTCAGTACATCAGTTCGGCGTACGGGGCGCGGGAGGGTTGAACACGCAGTAGGGAGACCCGTAGGCCCGGCGTACGAAGCAAGCAGGCGGTTCTCGCCCACGACGTAGAGAAAACAAACCAAAGAAAACCATCATGTCACTAACCGTGCGCAACAAAGGCACTTCCACCGGCCACTGTGAGCCACTCGCTGTGGGAACCTTGCGCTTCACGCATCCTTTGTCGGATAATATATTTCATACTCCGGAATGATCCCGCAGCTCCATCGACGCCGCCTACCATTGCCCGTCGGTCCTGTATGGCACGGTGTGACCGACACCGCAGCATTCAACGGGCACGGCCGATTCCGGTACAAGTATGATTTTCCGCATGGGTGGGTCACGATGAGTCGTTGCGCACTCCTGGGCACCGTACGTGATGTTTGAAATTGATCATGATACTGACTCTGTCGTTCCGCTCTCCTGCGTCTCCTTGACAAGATCCTCCTCTACTGCTGTTATTGCCTTTCACAGCCTGTCCTTCTCTAGGGGACGATGGGGCATGCGAATCTGACGAATCATGCACTCCTGGCACGGATGGCTACATCTGCAGCACCAGTAAGTGGGTAGCAATCCTGCAGATAGCAATGCCGGTTGAGGCGGGGAGTGTTGCGGAAAGCCTCTGCGCCATGATGCACAAACCGACTGGGCGGGTTGTCCGGGACCGCTAATATCAACACCAATATCCCACTTTCGCTCGTACACACCCCTTTGGTTGACCTTTCAACAGGCACTTCTAGGATCCATTCGTTTCATGAAATCGGAGCAACCGCAGCCTCGAGCTCGTCGTGTTGAACAACCTCAAGTTTCACTGACACGAGATAATTCCGTATTCCTACCTCCCTCCACACCGCACGGTTGGTGTTGTCTTTGGTGGCGACGCCAGCAAGGAACTCGTGCTTCGACCCAGAGTATGACCTCTACGGATGCGAGCCTGGCAGCACCCAAATGTGAGATCACGGCATGATAGGTGCCCCATGAGCTTTTGTAGAGTCATGGAGAGGTTGATCCACAGCAGTCGAATGGGAAGGCCGTGTGTTGCAAAATACTGGTACAGGTGATTGGATATGTGGGAATGCATCAAAGTCGTGGTAACCACCACACACAAATCCGAAGGCAGGAACCTTCCCCTTCAGCACTTCCTGGTAGCATCATCGCTTGAAGTGATTACCGGCCATCTTCCCGATGCCAAAGCTTTGCAGTTAGTGAAACACTCATCCGGCCCTACATGAATCGTGCGAGATATTCCGCTGAACTTCCGCTCTTCCACAGCGATCTCGATAACTGCGGAATCGGGGACGAAGATTTGGAGGACCTCCGGGAATGCTTCGAAAACGTCGGACGCGCATCGGTCACATACATGTAAGGCTTGGCGTGTTATAACTGTGATAACATCTTCCTCTACGAACCTAGCCTGGGGATGCTGTCCATCACCGTCAAGGCGTAGCTATTCGGCGGCATGCACCACCACCTGAGTCGCTTTTCCGTTGGCGATCTCTCATCCGCTCTCCGCCCATACAGCGCAATGAATTCGAACAGTTTGACGGAGCTGCCGGGAGGTGAAAACGGGCTTTTCGCTGGGTTCGAGAGCCTAAAAACTTTGTAAGTGGCTGTTGCCCGGACTCGTCGAATAGGTCGTCAGCGGGAGTGGCATGGTTTCCAGAAGGAACGCCGTCTTTGTTCCATCGCCCCCAGTACCCCGGCCTAGCAATGGCGACAACGGGATCGGTGGTATATTTGCCGCAATGCACGATCAATGGATCATCGAATCATCTTTCGATATTCGGTTGCCGAGAATTATGCTTTCTGCATTGTTTAGAGCTGTAAGTACTACCAGCCCCGCAAGTCGATCGGACATCATCGCGGGTGGCATGAAATTGACATGCCAGTCAACACCTCCATTGTCGTTGTTGCGTGAAATATCTTGATCTACGCCACGTGTGCTGTTCCACTGTTTTCAGAGGGCTCGTTCAAAATAACATCAAGACGCTGTATGCGGACAGCTTCGAAGGCCTGGGGGGGTCACTGACTTCGCTGTGAGTGTGTTGTTGTTGTTGTTGTTGTTGTTGTTGTTGTTGTTGTTGTTGTCTTCACATTAAAAACCGTTCCGATCTCTCTCTACCCAGTACCTTCGTATGTCCGTACTGATCCAACACTCGACGCGGTCGATTCCCGTGGTCACAGGTTAACTTACCCTAAAAAGGTACACTCAAATAAACTGGCCCCGAGGGGTCCGCAAGTCAATAGAAATCAACGACAGATATTCTGGAATCCTCCACTCCCTCTTCGCGCTATGCGAGGTATCAACTGAGACTAGCAGTCACTATCTATCATGGGCCGGAGAGAAAGAGGTACACCCTAGTGTATGAGAAGATAGAAATGGAAGTCCCATTCGTCGCGTGTATTTTGTGCTTTTGACTCCCCTTTGCTTGGGTTCGGTCCTACCATTGATGTCGACATCTACGCTTGCGTGAACGTGGTCAAGCTGTTACCTTGTGTCGGCGCATCGTATCAGTTTGTTGTTGCGGTCAGAAAGAGGACAGCGTATCCGTCGAACAGAGATAATAACCTGCGATTATTTGGTGTAACAGTTCGGATTTGTAGTTTCATTTGTTGTTCAGAAACTCGGGGTCACGAGGGGAAGAAATTACAACCTCTCATTTCATTGAGGAGAGAGCACGTAGTAGCCGTAGGAAGTTGAATAATGAGCGGAAGCAACGGAGGGTGCGAAGAGAAAGAGAGCCAGAAGTGGTCGCTCAACGTCGGTGGCTGCCGCCGTATTTGAACATGGGGAGAGAGGGGTATGTAGGGTTAACGTCGCGCCTCGCAGACAATGCGGCTGGCAAGACGATGCGCGTTCCATGTGCCTCTCTTCCCAACATGTGGCGTAGGAACCGAATAAATAATGAAGCAATTCGACAGAAAACAATAACTGGTCTAATTGCAACCAAACAGAACAATAGCCCCGCAAGCAAACGTCCGTCGCTGAGAAAAAGCACGATTTTGTGCTGAATGTCACAGCGAAAGAACATAAAACAGTTTTTCAAACTTAATGAGCAATGATGATTGAGGCTCTCAGAAGCTCCCTCGGAAAGACCAAAGGATATGTTTCGGGTTCTCCACGAGAATCCGATGCACTCCTAGCGTCATGTTTCGTCGTCTCTCGTGGAGAATCAACTTTGTATTGAAAAACGTAGGAGAAGATTTGTCGTCGTGCGATCCACCGGGGCAACCCTGGAGCAAAATATGAACTTTTTCCCTATCGCGCTCAATCCACCCTTTCTTCCATTCCATGCGCGCGACATCCTGTGTGCGTTTTCCCATGCCATCTTGTGCGTTTTGACTTGTGGTGGTGGTGTGAACACCCAGCTATTTATATCAAAACCAATTGACGACGATCCCCGTGGGCTCCTTCGACAACCTCGCTGGGCTATATCGGTTGTGAGTATCTCTCCTTTCGACATTGTTGCACCTGGGGGTTAGGACTGAGATACGTTGGTTTCGTGAGGGACGTTGTTGGCGATACTTGAGGCGCATGTCGTGCCAGACTGAGTGCAGGAGAGCAGCGCTATATCTCTAGCCGTAAACGACGCCTTTCGAATACGTCATGCGGGGGGCGCTCCGCACCCGATCCCGGGCATTTGGCCAGTAGACTCAATCGGGCGCTAGTTTTAGCAGGACAGGTCGGGAGCGAGCAGAAACCTGTGTGTACAATTTATTCGGCTTACCTGCACCCACCCCCGGCGCAGCGGGTGTCAGAACCCGTCGGGGCACCACCACCGGATGATGAAGATTCACTTTTGATACAATAATGGCATCGAATATCCTTGGGGTTGGGATGTCTGTCGAAATACCTCGCCTGCCCAGACGTTTGTCACAAACCCCTCGTAACTTCCTAAAGGGATGTACTGTATGTCGGAGTAGAATACCGAATAATAATACGTTCGTGCGCTCTGTCCGTTTCTCTCCCATATACCATGCGTAGGCAGCGTATCTGTAGCGTATTGGAGAGGGCAGCATTTCTTGGGAGTCACACACTTCTACAATAGTCGCCATTAAAGTCGTAGGCACACGGTTCACTACCTCACCAATACTCTCATGTGATCGAACGGTTTCCGCCCGTGGCTAACTTTTGTTGATTGTGATCCAAACTCAGGGCACTCTACGATAATGATTTGGCGTGGATACCTGCGGGGGTGTTTCGCGGCTTGGGGGAGCTCCGCCAGTTGTAAGCGCACCAAACCCTTCGACTCCGGGTGCATTTTCGGACGTACAATGTTCCAGTAGTGAAGCGTTGCACAAGGCCGTCCCAGTGGCGAGTAAGGAAGCATGTCGTAGACAAGACCAAAGCCCACAACTAAACTACATCATTGAGCGCTAGAATACGTGCCACAGAAAGTACAGCGGTCGAGAAACATTGGGAGGAAACTCATTCGTACGGCACACATTTGTGACATTAGGTCGATGCTTTGTCGTCATCATGTGAGCGACTATTGTATATCTTCTTTCTTTACGAAATTCAGCTTGGACATTCTTCAAACGATGGAAACTTCATGGTGAAGCGGCCTTCATTTCGCACTTGTGGCTGCACGATGATCACATGGGCGTCCCCTCACATCGTGGGGCTTGAGTGTATCCGGGCTGCAGGCGCCAAACCGCCTGCGAGCTAACTGTGGTAGACGAATCCACACTGTGTTTCTTGCGGTCTTGAGTGTTCAGCTCACGTGCCCCGCTCGGCTCATTGTTCTTTGCTATTCTCTGCCACGCTACAGATACTTATCTAATAATGCCCTCTCCACGCTCCCTGCCGGCCTCTTTGACGGATTGGGAGAACTCACTTCTTCTCTGTGAGTATTGGATCTCACAATGTGCAACTCTCGGCGAACTCTTGTGGGGGTTGACTAACAACGCTCTTGGTCGGCGTAGTCTTCTGTTTCGATTCCTTCGCAAGGGTGACAATGCCGCATGTAGGTTCAAGTTTTCGTTCCGTGGAAGCTGGAAGCAATCGTAGACGTCCTGGCACTCTCTCTGCACGTATGGATCGGAGAGCTACATGAACATTAAGTTGCTGTCTTCTCACCGTTGTTTTCAAACCGTTCCTTGTCCTGTTCACGGCAGCGATCTGAGCGACAACGAAGACCTTCAGTGCGTACCGTCATTGGCTGGGTGAGCTACTGACCCGGTTTCCGCCATGAGTGATGCTTTAGACAGAGTTGTCCCAGCCGGTAGGCGCCAGTCGGAAAATACGTGTACCAACTCTGCGTGAAAGGAATACGGGACCTTGCTCTGTGGCTGCATTTGTTGGAGAATTGTCTAACAATAACACTCTATGTAAGTGTATATAATATTGACATGTACGCCCATCATTTTATGTATTCGTTGCGATGCGCACGCGACCCTCGCGGGAAGTGCCACAATCTGGAACAAGCCTCAACGCTCCGTGAAGGAGAGGAGTGGTCATAACGGGGAAGGAATACTTGCCCAACACACGTCGTTCATGTGCCTGCAGTATCGTGAACGTGTTACCAAATCTTGTAACGGGAAAGTATTGTACGGCAGTATATGGTGACCAGCTCCGTGGGTACCCGAGAATGCAGTAGAAGGCACGATAACATTTGTTTTACACCGCCGTGCTACTCTCCCGCTGTTCCAGGTCTCCCAATTATTCTGCGGAAGAATGGAACCTCCCGGAAGGATTTGGCGATGGCGGCACGTGTTGTGAGTAATGCGTTGCCTCGATCAGAGGCGAAGCTGTCTGGGGTGTAGGGCGAAAGGAGCATGGCGATGTCTCACCACATAAAAGATCATTCCAGATTGACCACCACTGCTTGACCCTTTGACCGCCCGTACATATTCTTCTACTCTCCGTTGTTGCAACGATGGCAGCAGTCTACCAGTAGAGAACATTCGAAACCGAGGAAATCATTGCTCGAGGAGGCCTGTTGCCCGTAACGGTAGGTTGGCGCCAACCCGGTAACCCGCGTATGGCCTGAAGGGGCAACCACAGTATGTTGCTGATCTGGCCAACATGAAAATGAGGTGTACCGCTGGAGGTTGTATCTCTATCGGGGTCGATCTGGTAAACTAATCTCTGATATGATGAACAGCACCAGACGGTCGTAGCTGATGGCAGCCAAGACACGCCATGGTGAACAACGTTGCTGTCTCTTGACTCTTAAGTTCTGCAGCATTCTAATATCCCCAACCTGATAGCCTGCGATTGTCTAGCCGCCCGAAACCCCTGATTTACAAGTGCAATGTGCTGGTTAGGGATGTAGATGATGCTCGAGTGTGGGCGCTGTATATACAGTGAACTCTGCTGTATATAGGCCTCTGTATAATATCCGTAACGCAATTAATCAATTCGGAGAAGGTTGCCCGGGGTTCTTTAACACGCACGAGATTCACCTTCTAGGTCCGGCGTACAAAGCAAGCGGCTCTCGCCCACCACGTAGAGCAAACTAATCACAGAAAGCCGCCATGTCGCTAACCGTGCGCAACAAAGGCACTTCCATTAGCCACAGTGAATCACACATTGTGGGAAACTTGCGCATCACGCATCCTTTTTCGGACAATATTGTTTATTCTCCGGACTGGTCCCGCCGCTTCAACAATGCCGTCTATCAATGCTCGTCGGTACTGTAAGGTATGGTGTGATCGTCACGCGGCATTCAATGGACAGGGCCGATTCCGGTGCAAGTACTTTTGCCACATGGGCGGATCGCGATAAGTCGTTGCGCACTCCTGGACACCGTACGTCATGTTTGAAAGTTGGGCTTGAGTCTGGCCCTGTCGTCCCGTCCTCCTTCGTCCCCTTGACAAACCGCTCTTGAAACTACCCTGTTTATGTTTCCCTTCACAGCTTGTCCTTCTGCAGGGGACGACGGGGCATGCGCATCTAACGAGTCTTGTTCTCCTGGAACGGACGGCTACATCTGCAGCATTGGTAAGTGGGTAGCAATCATGCACAAAGCAATGACGGTTGTGGCGGGGTGTGTCGCGGAAAGCCTCTACGGCATGATGCACAAATAGGCTGCGCGAGGAGATGACGAGCTTTGTCCGGAACCGCCAATATCAACACCAACATCCCACTATTCGCTCGCACGCAGCCCTTGGTTGACGTTTCGACAGCAAGACTTGTGCTCGGCGTGGCGCGATCGTACCGAGTAGGATATATTCCTTTCATGAAACTCCAAGAACCGCAGCATTGAGCTCGTATATCACAACCTCGAGCTTTCACCCACACGACCTCATTTAGGAACCCTTCTCTCCCCGCACCGTTTGGTTCGTGTTGCCTCCGGTGACGGCGCCAGTAAGGAACTCGTGCTTGGACCCAGAGAATGACCTCTACGGATGCGAGGCTGGCAGCACCGAAATGTGAGGTCACCGCAACGTATGTGCTCCATGGAACATGTATTGTAGCCCGTGCAGAATCATGAAGAGGAAAATCCACAGCAATCGAATGGGCAGGCCTTTCGCTGCACAAAACATCTTGGGAAACCATCAAGATCAATGGCGACCAACATCTACAGATACCGTCGGAAGGCAGGAACATGAAGCCCTCCAGTACTCCCTGGCAGCATCATCGCTTGAAGTGGTCTTCGTTCATCTCCCCGATGCCCAAGCCTTCTCCGTTCTTGGTGACTCATGTGCATTGAATGGTGCCATATTCCCCTGAATCTCCACACTTGCACAGCAACCTCTCTAACTGCGGAATCGGGGACGAAGATCTGGAGGACCTGGTGGAATGTTTCGACAACGTTGGACGCGCATCGGTGACAGCCATGTAAGGCATGAAGATACAGACGGTTTAGTGCCAAGATCACGTTATAGGGGTGGGATATCCCCTACTACTCTTAAACCAGCCCAGACGCTCCGGGGATTCATACGATAGCCTGATCAAAACCACGTTTCCGTGAGGCACGTGTACTACATAGCACCAGCCTTTGCCCGCGAAGGACTTGCCCCGTGCGTAGCATCGTTCACACCGTCCCGCAGATACCTCGAACGAGAACCCCCGGTACGCTACATTAGATCGTGAGCTCATCCGAACGATCAAAACCTGGTGTTGGATGGTCATCAACTGCGTACACCACTCGGTCCTTGCTGTTACAATGGTTCTCCCACCTTCTTTGTGTTTCGCAGCTGGCTGGGTTCGAACTCTTTCACTTCTCTCGCGGCTGGCCTGTTCGATGGCTTCGACAACATCAAGTCATTGTAAGTGTTGTGCGGTTTACCGGACCACTCAACATACGTTTGTCCGGGATTTTTTCTGATCCACAAGAAGAACGGCGCTGAAGGAGGGACAGACAAATTCAATCGTTTCGCTTGCTTCGCATGTCGTCTGTGTCGCTGTTGCTGTTCTGCTCACCACTCATTCAACCGATGAGGTGCACGAGCTTCTCCAGAGTCTCACATTGAAAAGATCGATATCTCAGCCATTATTGGAGACTGACACAATAAAAACGTGCCACGCGATACGACATCCGATGCGCTAGATGAAGCGCAATTTGCATTCAAATTCAGGATTTATGCTTCAATAGGATTTTTCGGCTGCTCATCTGAAAAAGTACCGCGAATACGACACGATGTCGGTCCATAAGCTGTTGTGCGACTCGTACGGTTGTATGAACCGCTTGGTTACCTCGTTGTTGTTGTTTCTAGTGTTGGCTTCACCGTCTTGGTCTTGTCGTGGAGGTTTGTTGTTGGTGCGGGGTCTGATCCTCCCTACATGGCATTTCCGAGCAACTGGTCGATTGGTCCTGCAGATAATATCTTCTCCTTGCCGACGTATCCGTCTCGCGGAGCGAGTTGTTGACCACCCGTAGCTTTTTGTTTGTGCAATGTTTGCAATGCCCTGGTCTGTTGATGTGACATTGCTCACCGTATTGGTCGTTTCAACGTGGTGTACCTTGACTGCCCCCGACGTGGTTTGCTTTCATCCCTCGACTTCAAGGTCTTTAGGCAACCTCCTCACCACCTTGCCGCTTGGACTCTTCGACGGTTTGGCCTCGCTCTCCTACCTGTGAGAAGCCTATGTACAAGCTGTAGGGTGTACACGGATCGACCGTTCCGCGTATGAAGGCATGCAAGCGTTGATAGCTTGGTGCCTTTGCCAAGGAAACCCTCAACCAAACGGGGAATAAATTAGATTCTATGGCGACATGGAGCAAATGGTCCGTCCTCGCTTGCGAGGAGTACCGATGGTTCGACGTTTTCACGCATATATGTATCGCATACCCGAATTTCGAAGACAACGCCAATCGTTCGACAACGACGGATAGTCCAGAGCCATCCCGAACTGAAACTTCGCGTGCCTCCAGTACGATCCAACTGTGACGTGTTGTTATCCCTGTCGTCCGAGTTGAATGCAGCGTTGTTGGCCTAGAGGCGAACACGAACACGATGCGACGAACATCGCGCTCACTGCGCGCACATCGGGAGCCACTTCAGCACGAAAAGCTTTCGCCGATGTGGAGCGTGTGCTTGGTGATCTCTGACGGTCACGTGCTGTCCCTGTGTCGCACCAGCTTTGCATGGTACGTCTGGGTGACATATCACATGTTTTCGTTGATTACAATATCCTTTCCGAAACCGCACCTTCGTCACTCCCCTTACCGCGTCTGCTCTGTGGGGCACGAATCAGTTACCTGGGTGGCAACCAGTTCACTTCGCTCCCAGCGGGGGTCTTCGACGGTCTGGAATCTCTGCTCAAAATGTGAGTTGTGTGACGCCTCGGCTTCCTCTCGGGGGCACTCATCCACCTGAGCTACGGTTTGCAATCTGATACATAGTTACACAGTATCGACTTCCATCGGCGACAGCACCGAATAGAGTGGACAAGGAGAACGCTTGCAGTAGACTAGTGTAGTTCAACCATCAAACACTATTTCTTGATTCATCCACTCCCTTTCAGCACAACGGGGGAGCTAAAGCAACGCGCAAGGCTTTCGCTGATATAGAACGTGCCGCTCTGGTGTCGCTTGGTGACAAGCCATATGTGACCGTGGATTTCAATGATTTTTCTGGATGCACACTTTCATCACTCCCCGATTTTTGTCGGGTCTGTGCGGTACAAATCAGCTTTCTACAGGACAACCCGCTCACTTCGCTTCCCGCGGGGCTATTCAACGGTCTGGATGCGCTGGAAGTTATGTGAGTTGTGTGACGCCTGGTACTCCTATCGGTGCAACCCATCCACCTGAACTTCATGGCGCGGCCGGTTTGGTCGAGAGTATCCACCTACATCGGCGATAGCACCGCATAGAGTGGACGAGGAGATGTTCTAATGGGTCTTGACCGCACAATACCCATTATTGTTTCCCAGGCGTACTCCCATCACAACGGGATCTACCCCAACGTGAAAGCTTTGCTCACTTCAAATGTGTGTTTGGTGATCGCCAATGGTTACGTGCTGGCCCGGTGGCGCACTAGCGTAATAGAGCCTCTTGGAGACAAATCATACCCCGTTCACTTGCATTTTGTTGCTGAATGCGTACATTCCTCACTCACCGGTTCTTCGCCTGCTCCATGCGCTACAAATCAGCTATCAACCGGACAACCAGCTCACTTCGCTTCCCGCGGGGATTTTTGGCGATCTGAAATCGCTGCAAGGCATGTAAGTGGCGTGACGCGTTGTCTTCCTCTCGGTGCCACTCATCACCTGTACGTTCGAGAGTGTACAACAGATCGGCGAGAGCACCGCAAAGAGTAGACGAGGAGAACTCTTGCAGAAAATACCCCCTCTGGTTGCCCACCTTCACTCCCCGCAGAACGGGAGCTACCTCAACGCGAAAGCCATCCCTGACGAAAGAACGCATAGGTTGTGTTCGCCTTCCCTGACGAAGAGCGTGTAGTTTGTGATCACTGACGGTTCTGTTGGAAAGCTCACTGTCAAGTCGATAGTTTTGTACCAAGGTAAATCAACAAACACGAATTGCCGGAGTAGTCTTCGGCATACATACCCACGGGTTAAACATTGAACCGTAGGAGTGTCGTACGCCGGGCCATTGCCCGCTAACATATTCGGAATATAGCCGTCTGTTACCGTGATCGGTGCAGTCGCCCGTGTATGTGCATCTTTCCGTGATAGGTTATAGGCTCGCCCACGCATTGCTCGCCCCCACACTCTACCTCTGTCTCTGTCTCGTTCCTGTCTTCCCTACCTCTGTCAAGGCCGTTGGTCTCTTCACGGTCTTTCGTTACTTTTGCGAGTCGCAAGACCCTCCCTTTCTCATTATTGCCGTTCGGCTAACCAAGCGCCAATTCAAACTATTTTATCTGATCAATAAATATGCGTTCTGTGAGCCTCTGCACACTTGGTCCACAAGGTGGCCATTGCCAGGAGCACACCTGATACAGGGCTGATACCCCACCAGGTTCAGGTCGTATAACGGGGTCTCACCAGCGTGGTAGGGTATCTCGTGGCGAAACAAATTTTGCCCTTGACTACCATGTTTTCGGAACGCACACCGTCGTCCCTCTCCCTTTCGTCTACCTTTTGCGGCAATAATCAGCTCTTTGCAAAACAACCAGCTCGCTTCGCTCCCCGCGGGGCTTTTCGACGGTCTGGATGAACTGCAATATCTGTGAGTTGTTTGACGCCTCGTCGTCCTCTCGGAGTAACTCATCCCCCTGAGCTACATCACGCAACATGTTCGTTCGAGCTTATCGTTTTCCATCGGCGAGAACACCAAATTGTGTTGACGGAGAGAACCGTTACAGTAGGGTAGTGGTTCGACGTTCGAATTACTCTTACTCTTGCCACGCTCACCCCTCGCACAATGGGAGCAATCGCAAAGTGAAAAGTTTTCGCTGATGTGGAACGCGTGTTTGATGATTGCTGATGGCTCACGTGCTTTTCCTTTGTTCTTTTTGGCTGATTCCTGGGGAGAAAGCGTCTGTTGCAGTTGAATACTTGGTATCTGGTCGGATCGCACGCCGTCGTCACTCCCTATTTCGTGTCTACTCTGTCCCATACATGTCAGCGCTCTGTATAGCAACCAGCTCGCTTCGCTCCCCGCCGGGCTTTTCGACGGTCTGGGAGCCCTGGAAACTCTGTGAGTTGTGTGACGCTTGGTCGTCCTCTCGGTGCGACTCATCCACCTGAGATACATAAAACCAACTGTTGGAGAGCATCAACGCCCATCGGCGAGAGCACCGAATGGAGTGGAGGAGGAGAGCGCTTGCTGTAGGCTAGTGGTTCGATCATCGAATACCCGATCTTGCTACCCGCGTTCACTCGCCAGACCACGGGAGCTACCACCGCGCGCCAATCGTCCGCTAACATTGGACGTTTGTTTGATGATGGCTGACGGCTACGCTGCTGCTCCGGTGTCGCACCAACTTCATAGATAGCCTCTTGGTCGCAAAGTAATGTTTGATCACTGATTTCCTTCTTAACGCGCTTCGTTGCCACTCCCCGATTTATCATCTGATGTGTGCGGCACAAATCAGCTCTCTGAATGTCAACCAGCTCACTTCGCTTCCCGCTGGGATTTTCGAAGATCTGGATGCGCTCGAAAATCTGTGAGTTGTGTGGAGCCTTGCCTTCATTCGGTGCAGTTCATCCTCCTAAGCTACAGAACCTGTATGTTTGAGAATATCCAACTCCATCGGCGAGAGCACCGCATTGAGTGGACGAGAAGAGCGCTTGCAGTAGGCGAGTGGTTTGGCCGTTCTTGATACCCGCTCACACCCCTCACAGAACGGGAGCCATCCCAACGCGAACCCATCTCAAAACGAAAAGATTTCGCGGAGTCGGAACGTTTGTTTCGTGACTACTGACGGATACCCTGCTGCTACGGTGTCGCACGAGGTTTGTAGGGTGCATCTTGGTGACGAAAATGTTTGCCTTTTGTTACCCTGTTTTCTAAAGGCGCAACATCGTCACTGCCCGTTCTCCTGTTCTATGTGGCACAAATCAGCAATCTGGGTGTCAACCAACTCGCTTCGCTCCCCGCGGGGCTGTTCGACGGTCTGCATGCGCTGCAATATCTGTGAGTACTGTGACGCCTTGTCGTTGTTTCGGTGTAATTCATCAACCTGACCTACAGCACACAACCTGTATTGGAAGGAGTATCGGGTGCGACCGGCGACAGCACTGCGTTGTGAAGACGAGTAGAACATTTGCAGAAGGCTAGTGGCTTGACCGACTTCATTTCGCAGTCGTGGCGGCAACTGAACATCTTGGTGTCGAAATCACAGGGAACGTATGTAGGTCCCACTGGCTACAATCCTCCACACAGCATAAATTCCGTCATATCTGGGGGGTACAGTCGATTTCGTTGGGACTGGCAATTGTTGTCTAGGACTGTGATGTTTCCGCCTTGGAGTGTTCACATTGATAACTTTCCGCGACGCGTATGTACTCTAGAAGCAGATCGCCGCATGCAGTGGACCAGGTTAAACCATCTCATCCGTGACAGTCACAGTGTGCGGTGAATCATCCGCGCATTCATTTCGTTCGCTACCCTGGTCATTGTACCGGTCTCTGACGTTTACTTGCTCTTTCGCTCCATGCAGGAGTTTGCGGTGGAACGACGGGTTACAGTGCCTCCCCTCGTTGTTCGGGTGAGCAACTGTTGTTGGTTCGGCATCCTTTGGAAGACTTTCGTGCCAAACCTATAGGGTGCCGTTGTTTTCGTGACCCCGTGTGCGCTCCTTCACGCTTGAACCGTGGGCCGTGTTCCGACGAGGCTACCCCATGGCAAATCGTCCGAGGCATGCCTAGAAAGGTGCTCTGTCTACGGCATCTATTCTGCCCGAGAATATGATCATTGTCCGCGACCGAAGTTGATGTCGGCCAACGATCATGAGTGAATTTTGAATCCCCGTCCTGCAGACGTACCTTCGAACGATCATTACACCCTTCACCTCAACTCAAGACGCATTTACACTGTTTGATGCCTTGGTCCCGCGGCAGGTTGGGGTTAGTCAACGGCGCCGAACTGTTCCTCCCAGATGGCTTTGAGTCTGGCGGCGAATGCGGTGAGAGTGTCTAATCTATGCACTAGTTAGCCGTGGCACATGCATTGATGTGCCGTTGTAGCACATGTAGATATCGCCGACTTTCCAAAGGGTCAATTGCAGTGTGCAACAAATGGTGTATTGTTTTCTTCCGAATTGCCTTGATTTCTATTTATGTGGCCCACGGAGGGAGACTTCCCCTGTACCACACGTTCCACGCGGTACAAAGCCTCTGCGGTATCCTAACGTGTCTCTGCTACGAAAGCACAAAATCTCCCTCCGAATACTACCAGACGGGATGAAACCAATGCACAGTAGCAGTCTCGGACGATCGAGCCTCCCAATGGTACGCAATACCATTTGGAAAAAATCCCAATTCTACGCCATACTTCAACGGTTGCACCAACCCGAGTAACAGAAATATTAAGAGGCCTCTCCTAAGTGAGTCTTCACTCGAAACATCTCCTATTCCCCACCTTCAAAAGACAAAGAGCTGGGTGGGCGGGAGAAAAGCTACGAATTTCTGCTAGCTAGGCCCAAACTGCGATGTAGCTAGCTGCTGCCCTCCTTGCCGCGTGAACCCCGACGCGGGCTGCGTGGTACACACTGTGCATTCCTCAACACGTGGCCCTTTGGTCCATTTTACGCGCGTCGATCAAACTCTTGCTGCAGGAGCAGCGAGGCAGCAGAATGAGAACTCCGTGAGGCCTTTCCCAGGAAACCAAACCAAGACAACCCAACCAACACGACTCCAGGGCGGCACAACAAGAACCCGAATTCTTCCGTGCACAATAAATTACAGTTTCTTCGGTCTTCGACAACAAACTTCTATTTTTATATCGCACTTTGAATGATCTTTCTTTTGCGTGTCTCAAGAGAGATATAGCTAACGACGTAACGCATTGAGTGGAGTGGCCACTGCGCGGGCAGTCAATACATCAATTCCGAGAAGGTGGTCCGGGGCGATTCAACACGCAGTAGGGCAACCTCTAGACCCGGCGTACCAAGAAAGCGGCTCTCACCCACCACGCAGAACACCGAAAACAACACTATAGGACCCGTTCGAAACAGTGGCACCCCAAGAGCCACAGTTTAGCAAGACAACATGAGGGAAGCTTTCGTTAGATCCATCCTGTTCCGGACGAAAAACAATTCCTCGCAAGTTGATTCCACCGCCTCATCTAAGCCACTTTCCAATCCTCGTCAGTTCGGTGAGGCACAGAGTGACCGACACCGTCGCATCCAATGGAGATGACGTTTCTGGTACAAAAAGGTTTTCGTGACCGAATCACGAAATGTCGTTCGGTACGCCAATAAATGAAACCGAACGTCTTCTCTATGCTACATTCACCCTGGTTCAGGTCACCTCTTCTCGCGGACGACAAACTGTTCCTCCCAGATGGCTTCGAAGACGGCGGCACACGCTGTGAGAAGTGTCCACATAACAGCTCACAGCTAGCTTTGGGAGCCACAAGCCATGGTGTTCCGTACCAAAATAGGCATCGCCGACTCCGCAGGACGTTTAACTCTACTTACAATATTTATCATGTATTCCTCAGAGGAAAAATGTGCATTCCGCGGCGCATGGAGTAGCCGCTTCGGTGGGTAGCTATTAAACAAATCGGACAAGGTGGGCAGGGGCGATTGAACACGCCGTAGGGCAAAGTTCTAGGCCCGGCGGGCCAAACAGGGCTCCGCTTCTGTCGTCACCCGCTGCACAGAGCATGCAAAGCGAGCAATCCGCCATGTCGCCAAGCCGTTCGCAACAAAGGCAATCCAAGTGCCACAGTGGTCAAGGACGCCATACGTCTGCAGAATCTTGCGGTTCCTGCATCCTTTTCCTGGCGAAAAATGAATGATCGCCGCAAGTTGACTCCGCCCTGCCATCCAAGGTACCTTCCAATGTTCGCGCTACTGAACAGCACACAATGACCGATCCCGTACAAGTCAGTAGAGATGACGGTTCCGGAAAAAGTAATCGCGCACTCCCTGACACCGTACGTGGTGCTTGAAAGTTGAGCTTGAGGCTGACTCTGTCGTTCTGCCCCCTGCGTGTCCTTCTACTCTGGTTGTTTCTTATCACAGCTTGTCCTTCTCTAGGGGACGATGGGGCATGCGACTCTGACGAATCTTGCACTCCTGGCACGGACGGCTACGTCTGCAGCGCTGGTAAGTAGGTAGCAATCATGCAGACAGCAGTGCCGGTTGTGGCGGGTAGTGTTGCGCAGAGCCTCTATGCCATGATGCACCAACAGGCAGCGCGAGGAGATGACGAACTTTGTCCGGGACCGCCAATGTCAAACCCAATTTCCCACTTTCGCTCGCACACACACCTTGGTTGACCTTTCAGTGGGCAGACTAATAGGATCCGTTCGTTTCTTCATGGAATCTCAGCAACCGCAGCCTCGAGTTCGTGTTGAACAAACCCGAGCTTTCACTGACACGAGATGATATCGTATCCCTGCCTCCCTTAACACCGCACGGTTGGTTTTGTCCTTGATGGCGACGCCAGTAAGGAACTCGTGCTTCGACCCAGACTATGACCTCTACGGATGCGAGCCTGGCAGCACCCTAATGTGAGATCACGGCACGATAGGTGCTCCGTGAAACATGCAGCCTGTGCAGCGTCATGAAAACGGGTGTCTAGCGCAATCGAACGGGCGGGCCGTGTGTTCAACGATCCAGACGAAGGGATACGTGGGAATGTATCAAAGTCAATGTGGTGACCAACGTTCACAGATACTCACCCACACACACCCGAAGTCGGGAACGTTCAAGCCCTTCGGCACTCCCTGGCAACACGACCGATTGAAGCGGTTGCCGGCCATCTCCCCGCTGCCATCGCTTATCTGTTCGTGATGCATTCGTCCGGTCCTACGTGAATGGTACGATATTCCGCTGAATCTCTGCACTTCTTCAGCGATCTTGATAACTGCGGAATCGGGGACGAAGATTTGGGGGACCTCGAGGAATGCTTCAACAACGTTGGACGCGCATCGGTGACAACAATGTAAGGATTAGCGTGTTGAAGCTGTGATACGACCTCCCGCGACAAACGTGACCTCGGGATACTATCCATCACCGTCGTAAACGAGGTTGAGCTATTCGGCAATATGCACCACCACCTCAGTCGTTTTTCCGTTGGCGATCTCTCATCCGCTCTACGCCCATACAGCTCGATGAACTATAACAGTTTGACGGAGCTGCCGGGGGGAGAAGACGGGATTTTCGCCGGGTTCGACAGCCTCAACACTTTGTAAGTGGCTATTGCGCGGACTCATCGAAAGGGTCGTCAGCGAAACGTGGCATGTTTTTCAGAAGAGACACATTCCTTATTCCGTTGCCTGCAGCACCCTAGCCTAGCATTGGGGAAAAGGGAAACGGCTGTAGTTTCCGCAACAGATGCTCAAACGAGTATCGCTCATATTGTTGATGTTCGGTTGCCGAGAAATTTGCCTCCTACTTTGCTTAGAGTTGCAAATACACTCTTCCATCAAGGTGGCCTGCCGTGGTACCAGGCCCACAAGTCAATCGCATCTCATCGCGGTGGCACCAAATTTACCTAGCAGTCAACACCTCCACCGGAAATACCGCTTGTTGCTTGGAAATAACTTCATCTCCGCCATTGTGTGCTGTCTGGCTGTCTTCAGAATGCTCAATCAAAATAACATCGAGACGCTGTATGCGGAAAGCTTCGAAGGCCTGGGGGGGGCGCTGACTTCGCTGTGAGTGGCTGGAGCGTACGCGAAGATAGAATTGGGAAGGCCCTAACCATTTCCTCCACCGTCTATGACCCATTATCCCCACATGCGTCTGTGCTGTTGACTACCCTTTACTCGGCTTCTGTGCTACCATTGACTTCGACATCGATGCTTGCGCGAACGTGGTCAAGTTGTTAGCTTGTTCCAGTACATGGGATCAGTTCGTTGTTACGGTCAGGAAGTGGTCGCGCGGAACAATCAAACCAAATACCCTCTCGTGCAAACATCCGTCGCTGAGAAAGAAGGCACGATTCTGTGTTGAATGTCACGAAGAAATAGAATTGAACAATCTTCCAACGTTAGTCAGCAATGATTGATTTGGCTCTCACAGCCCCCTCTGGAAGATTCATAGTCACTTTTTGGGTTCTTCACGAGTAACCGATGTATTCACTAGCATCATGCTCCACGAATAGTTATCTTGCATTTGGTAAGCAGACGAGAAGGTTGGTCGCCACACAATCACCGGCGCGCTCGGGAGCAAGGTGAACACTTTCCAAGTCGCGCTCAACCCATCATTTCTTCCATTCCATGTGCGCGCCATCCCGTGTGCACTTGATCGTGCCATCTACGGCGACAAAAAAACGATATTGCGGTGGTGAACACACCCACAGGAGCATCATTCAAAGCCGGTTAACCACGATCCCTGTGGGCTGCTTCGACAATCTCGTTGGGCTGCAGACGATGTGAGTGTATCTCGTTTTCGTATGGTAGCATCCGAGAGTTCGGGCTGAGATAGGTTGGTTTCCTACGGGACAACTTTGCCGATACTTCAGGCGCATACCGTGCCAACCTGACCGCAGGAGGGTCACATACAAGTATTGCGGATGTCTCACGCGGGTAGCGCCCGATCCCCAGGATTTGTCAACAGAATCACCCGCCCTGCCCAGTTGTTGGTCACACCTTGAAACTGCCTAAACGCGATGTACAGTACATCAGTGCACAATACCAGCGAAGGACATATTCGAGCGTTCTCTCCGCTTGTCTCCCATATGCTGCGTGTGTGGTAGCGTTTTGCAGCAACGGTGGATGCGTGGCTGACCACGTCAGGTCTCAACACCTTTTGAGAGTCAAACACATAGGCAATGCTCCTGGGCACACGGTTTGCACTACATACCTCGCTATCATGCCCATGTGATAGCGCGTTTTCCGCCCTATGACTGGCTTCTTTCTTCATTGTGCTACGAATTCAGGACGCTTTACGGGAACGACTTAGCGTGGCTACCTGTGGGAGCTTTCCGCGGCTTGGGGGAGCTCGGCACGTTGTAAGCGCGTCAAAGCCTTCTATGCGTACACTGGCTGCATTATTGGACGTAAAACATTGTGAATCATTGACATGCCGTTCCAGTGGCGAGTAAGGAAGCATGTCGTAGAGGTAACCATAAAAAATACAGCTGTCGAGTTTAGAATATGTGCCACAGAATGTACATCAGTCGAGAAACTCTGGGGGGAAACTCCTTCCTGTACAGGCATCTGTGGCATTTGGTCGATGCTTTGTCATCGCCATCTGCGCGACTTTGTCGTCATTGTTTACGAAATTCAACTTGAAAAACCCTTGGATGGTTGGCACCTTCATTGTGAAGCGACCTCGATTGAGTACTCGTAGCTGTACGGCGATCATATGGACGTCCCCTCACGTCGTGGAACTTGACTGTATCCGCATCACTCGGTCTGCCGGGTTAAACTGTCTAGACTAAGGCATTGCCACATTGTCTCTTTTGGGGCCTTAACGTTCAGCTCACGGGTCCCGCTCGGCCGTACATTTTCTACTCTTTTCTGCCACGGCTGCAGATCATTGGCTGGAAATGCCCTCTCCACGCTTCCTGCGGGCCTCTTCGATGGCATGGAAGGCCTTACTGTTCTGTGAGTGTTGGATCCTTACTAACGTGTGCAACTCCCGTCGACATCTTGGGAGCGGCGAAGAAAACCGTTCTTCGTCGGCGTACTCTTCGTTTTCGATTCCTTCGTAAGGGTGTTGATGACGCAGCATGTAGGTTGAAGCTATTGTTCGGGGGAAACTGTACGAGTTCTGGCAGTCTGCGGCTGCTTGTGGTAAGAGCTCCATTGTCCGTTGTTCTTGCAGGTCAGGAAAACAAGAACCCCCAACTACTTCTTACTGTATATTGGACGAAGAAGTAGCAGTTTGCCACCATAACGAAGTAGGTTATACGTCGGGACACCTGCACTCGGAGATAGGTGGGCAAGATACTGTGTGTGCGTCCAAGCATGTTCCACAGTGCCAGTCAGAGGGGCACCACAATGTCAGACGAACGCTAAAGATTATGTTGCTCCTCGGCGAAACTATCCAGCGGAACCACCAATGTTGGCGATACGTTTTTCAAGCAGGACCTGCCAGCAGAATTAGCACCGCCAATTGCGATTGATCCTTGTACACACTGACAGCCACATGAATTCAACCATGGCATATTTCTCACCTTTGTTGCCAAATCGTTCCTTCTAAACACTGCGCTGTCCTACGGCAGCAATCTGAGCGAAAACGAAGACCTTCAGTGCGTACCGTCAATGGAAGGGTGAGCTACTGACTCGGTTTTCGCCGTGAGTGAGGTTGTAGACAGAGTTTCCCGGCCGGTAGGCGTGAGTGGAAACTACGTGGACCAACTCGGTGTGAAATGAAATGCCTGTGACTGAAGTCGTTGGAGACTTGTCTAACAAAAACACAATGAATATATGTAAAAATAGAAGTAATTACCCGAGAATGCAAAAGAAAGGCACGCGAACCAAGTTGCCACCAGCATCGTGTTCCTCTCTCGCTGTCCCAGGTCCCCCAATTATTCTGCGTCTGAATGGTCCCTCCCGGAAGGATTTGGCGATGGCGGCATGTGTTGTGAGTGCACCACTTCTTCTTCCATTATTCGGAGACGAAGCTGTTTGAGGTGTAGTGCTACAGAAGGCAATGCCGCACGACGAAAAGATCAGTCAAGATTGGCCACCACTTTGCGACCGTTGAAATGCCCGTATTGATTCCACTACTCTCGTTGTTGTAGTTTGTGGCACATAGCGCAAATTCGAAACCGATAAAATCATCGCTCGAGGAGGCCGGTTTCCCGTACCGACGCGTTAGCGCCAACCTCCAGATCCGCGTACGGCCTGAAGGGCAACCGCTACATGTTTCTGATCTGCAAAACATGAAAATGAGGTATACCGCTGGAGATTGTATGTTCATCGGGTGCTATCCGGTACTATTCTCTGCAAAGATGAACAGTACCTGACCGTCGTAGCTGATCGTGGCAAAGACACTCCATGATGAACAACGTAGCCGTTCCTTGACTCTCACGTTCTGCAGCATTCCGCATAGTATTCCCAGCCGGGTAACCTGCGATATGTTGCCGCCCGAAATCTCTGGTTTAGCAAGTGTGCGTGCTGTAGTGGCAGTCAATTCTGTCTGATGTTTTGTGGCCTCTGGGGAATGCATCCGTAACGCATGGAGAAACCGCGGGCAGTCAATGCATGAATTTGGAGAAGGCCCCGGGCGTTTCAACACGCAGAAGAAAAACCTTCGACATATGAAGGACCGGCGTACAAACCAAGCGACTCTCGCCCACCACGCAGAGCAGAAAAATATAATAAATCGCCATCTCGCTGACCGCTCGCAACACAGGCACTCCAATCAGCCACATTCAGCAACACAATATGTGGCAAGCTTGCGCTGAACGCATCCCTTTCCGGACGAAAAATGAAACTATCGCAAGCTGGTTAATCCGCTTCGTCTAAGCCGCCTAACGATGCTTCCCGGTGCTGTAAGCATGGAGCTTCCGGCACGGTGGCATTCAACCGAGATGGCGATTCCGGTAACAAACTTACCGCCACATGAGCAGATCGCGAAAAGTCGATGCACTCTGACACCTTGCCTTACGAAACAACTATATGTATTGTAATTGGGCCTGGCCCTGTCGTTTCATCCTCCTGTTTCATCTGAAGAGCCTTTTCTGCTGTTGTTTCCTGTGACAGCTTGTCCTTCTTCTGGGGACCACGGGGCATGCGAATCAGACGAATCTTGCTCTCCGGGCATGGATGGCTACATCTGCAGTACCGGTAGGTTCGCGTTAGCTGCTTCAATACCCTCCTCATGCTGAGCTGGATCGTGCTCTACCCGCAGCAAAGCCTAGACTATGATAAAAAAACAATATGTCGATGTTTGCTACAGCACGGTGGTCGTTGTAGTCCCTCAACCAACTCACACTAATCAATCCGAAGTACGACGTAGCCCGAGACCCGGAAAACATACTCCGAAAGTATCAGTCCTTGAGGGGGTTAGAGTGTGCTGCGGGGATCGTAGACACACACTGCACACTCCCGCTGTTTGTACAACCGTACAGCCCGCACACCAGTGACGCAAGTACCTCCGGTGGTTGTGGCACTTCGGTTTCTTCTAGACCACCATATTCAGTTCGTGAGATCCGCGTCATCCGATGGTTGCCGGAGCAGGTCAGTCCGACATCCCGTCTTACCTCGGGTGCTTCTCGGACCCTTTCGACAATCGCGTCTTCGAGTGGAAGACTTCTACCGCTGCCATGACCGCAGAGGTGGGGATGACCGGTCGATGGCTGATAGTGTGTAGATATCGCTGGCTGCATACGATGTCAACGCGTAGGTGTTGTGCGAGATGGTCTGTACTCTTCGTGTTCAAGATGCTGTGAGAGCGGTAGTTGTTGCGGATGTCGTTTGGTAGCCGCACAGGAGTCATCAACGGTTTGAAACTCGAGTTGTGACCCACGACACCCAGCCTCCCCGTTTGCACTGTCGGCGGACATGCCTGTCACTGCGCTCTTCGCCCCCTGATGCGGATTACCGACCGCTTTGCTGGCATGCATACGACCGTTGAACCACAGGTCTGCTCCGAGCTCTGCTCCAACTCGGCCTTCTATGGCACCCAGTATTCGACAGAGGTAAGATGTCTTACATTTGAAAACGACGGATCCATTCATACCCCGATCAACATTGGAGGTGACGAACGAGATCGTGATACCAAATGGTGCCGGTATTTGGAATGGTTTTTGCAGGATTTCGTGAATAGTTTTATCCTTGGTCGTCGTGCCTCTCTGAATCTGCAAACGAAAGGCGGTTTTCAACTTTTCAACCGTGCAACTTAGCCATCTTCAAGTCATTGAGGTTGCGCAATTCCCGCAATACAATAAAATTGCCCAGCTGGTTTACGGGGCCTCGGCAAGGAAAAAGGGTAGATTGCCATTTCTTGCTCTGGTCAGCTTGCCGTTGCTCGAAGAAAAACAAACATCCCCGAGGCAACCGGGAGGTTGGGATGGGTTATTCTTGGCTGGTTATTGACTCCTTGACAAAGTAACTTTGCGTTTGCCCTCTCATCGTTGGAGGTCCTATTCATCGTCGGAGGTCGACGCTTCCCTCTCCAGATTATAACGGACTGCATAGAAGAAAAAATACGCACGTTGGCACGGTTTCCTACCGGTCGGAGCGCGTCTTTCACGACTTCAGACCGCGTGTGCAGCCGTACACACCATGGTATCCTTTTTTTCTTTCTCGACTGTCGCTCGGTGGCGCCACCACTGCTATGCGTACAGCACCTTTCTCGTCTTGTGCTTGGTAGCGTACAACCCTTCACGCCGCGCGCGCAACCACGACACGCAAACCTTTATTCCCCCCTCACGCCGTCCTCTTGCCCCCGAATATTACAGTGCTGGTGTGGGGACAACGTCGGATACGCCGACAACGGCCCCGGCGTCTGCGATATGTCCTGCTCCGGCAACTCTGATGAGATCTGTGGCGGATCGTACGCGCTCTCCATTTACTCGAACGAACCCAATTACCTTGGATGCTACTCCGACCCAGCCGACAACCGCATTTTCGAGCTGGTGTCTTCCTCCGTCGACATGACGGCCGAGGTGAGGGAGGAACAAAGCCAGATTCGATACGTCTCGAGTCGTAGGTTGAGCTGTTGATGTGGGCTTGTGTCGATGTCACATGGCTTCAAGCTCTGCCTGGTACTGCTGTTGTCTGTTCGTGGTCTGTTTGTCCTTGCACAGCTGTTGTCACGCGCGTTGGAAATCATCGTTGGACCAATACGCCACCGCCCCCCAACAAAGTTCCACGCCGTTCCCTATTCGCTTGTCTCTCTTCCTTCGATCGACCATTGGCTTCCCTCAAACGTGACCAAACGGCCACAGGTCTGCTTGGCCCACTGCAGCATGCATCAATACTACGGAACTCAATATTCGATAGAGGTGAGACTTCTAGCGTAGATGCGCGAAGAGAGGAAGCTTTTCGCGTGGTGTCAACTTTGTGCTACTGTAATTTGGTGTCGGAACTGCATGATTGGCATTGAACAATCACGCCTATGGCCATGTTTTAGTGGGCTTTCCAAGTCACCGACGTGCCTTGGATCACGTTGGTCTCGTACGCTGTCTTTCGCGGCGCTGTGCGTCGGCTCGAGATATATATATGAGTTGTGGCTTGTGCGCAAGCCGTCTGCCACGCACATCGTAGTAAACATATGTACGTCCCGCATGACATGGCCGTCGCACGGTTCGGAGGCGACGAGCGGATGGGGGCCTTCCTCGACTACACTCGTGCTATGGAAAACGTTGCCTGCTCTCATGCACCAGCGATTGATCATTCGAGTTGTTTAGTCCCGGTCAACCTCTCTCGCTGGCATCTTGATATTGTAGGAGACTCGTGCTTCCACCTACATGGTACGCACTACCCATTCCAGATACCATCATCGCAGAACGGTCGTGTTTAGTGGTGGCTCGGCAATGCTTGAGAAAATGCCGTGGTCGCTCGGTAACGCAGATTGTCGGACCGACGTCCGTTGTTTCTCCAGAGCTCTGATCATCATTGGACCTGCTTGCTTTCACGCCAGATCTTCCAGTCTCTAGGCCTGCTGCTACAAGGATAGCCGTTCCCTGACGCCGCATCACCATGGTATCTCCCCCCACCTTCCATTAATTACGGCGACGAAAACTGCGTAGCATCTCTAACCCTCTTGGCGACTGCACCCTCTCCCCCGCTTTTCGATACTGCCGAACGCAACAGTGCTGGTGCGGCGACAATGCCGACTACGACGCCAACGGTGCCGGCGATTGCGACAAGTCCTGCTCGGGCGACTCCAGCGAGGTTTGCGGAGGCTCCTACAGCATGAGCGTCTACAAGAACGTCGACGTGGATACTGCTGTGGAGTCCTACCACCTTGGCTGCTACTCCGACCCAGCAGACAACCGCGTTTTCGTGCAGAACGAGTCCTCTGACGCCATGACCGCAGAGGTGAGCGGGAAAGCGACAGAGGCGTGGATGACTATAGTTTACTCGTTGACGTGTACTTCCAGAACACTGTCTGCATGTTGTTGAATAGTATGCATGAGGTTAAGTCGGTCTGGTGCACAAGTTTTCTAGTTGCCGGTGTCGATACCGTGATGTCATCCCCCGTGAACTGTCAGAGGTTCTCAAAATCAACGGGGGGCCAACTGTTGCTGGACACGGAGCCTCTAAACTGCTCTCCGGTGGTGTGCCCTAACCACTCCTCCCCCCACTCGTCGTGATGATCGATGCTTGTGGAAACGCACAAATTCTCAACTGCTCACAGCTCTGCGCATCGCTATGTGCCGGGTCGGCCTTCTACGGAACGCAGTACTCTACGGAGGTGAGGACGTTGTGACAGTTTTTCTACTGTAGTCTCAGGACAATACCGTTCGGATGGATTCGGGTCTGTAGACCCCCCTCCACTACAATGCCTCCCATAAAAACCGCCGGTGAGACCTGAGACGTTTGGGAAGGCTCGGGACAATCTTCGGTCTTGCCTACCCACCTGTGACTTCGTCCTGGGGCGTTCCGTGTTGGCCGGGTGTACTTATCTGACCATGGGCATTGAAAGAAACGTAGTTCGGCAACATAGTTCATTTTTGGTGTTCGTTGTCGGTACTGCAGTTGTTGCTGTAGTCGTGCTACAGTAGCTTCTAACACCAAAAGCCAAAAGGGAGAGCGCCATCGGCGTTCCTGCGGAAATGAGTTCTAGTTGCTCTGTTTCCAAATTGCCGGTGTGAACCATCAAAAATTCGTCTTGTACGGCAAAGCGTTCAATATAATCAAGCAACATTACAACGCAACGAGCGACAAAACCACCAAACCCGAGCCTCACGCATCAGCAGTAAGGGGACCTTTGCCCGGTTCCTCTTGTCTTGCTTTCACAGTTGTATTGGTTCCCTCAATGTGGCGCGTTCCAAAGCGAGAGGTCCGCGGTCAAGTACTGGTGTGTGCGGGGAGTACCCCGGCCAGACGGACAAAAGCAGAAACAATAGTTGGGGGGACGTTCTGCCCTCGGGATACATGCTCTATTTTCAGGCATGGCCTCATTACATGCCTCTGAGAACACGCCGGGGCGTTCGTCAGCACAACGAGGTTGCAGGCACCCCCAGTGGTGTTTTTTCTCTTGGCGACATCGCGGTGCTTGGATCGGAAGCGTGTTCTTCTCCTCGAGCCTATCGCCTGAGCTGTTAATGACGTTCTCGTGCTCCGTGATATGTCCTGACACCAACGCACCCATCAATACACCTCCCTCATTTCACCCAGCACTACACATTGTGCGAATATCCTTTGTACACCTTGACACGATGAAACCCGCTGTCCTCTCTGTTTGTGCCACCCTTTACACCTCACTGTACCATCCCTTCGAAACCAGTGCTGGTGCGGTGACATCAACGCCCCATACTCCGTCAACGGTGAAGGCGTTTGCGACATGACCTGCTCGGGCAACCCCGAAGAACCCTGCGGGGGGTCCTACAGCATGGATGTCTATGCCCACGACCCCTCGTACCTCGGGTGCTTCTCGGACCCCGCCGACGGCCGCGTTTTCGTTCGGGAGAGTTCTACCTCGGCTATGACGGTGAAGGTGTGCGAATCGCGACAACAAAACGTTGGTTGGCCGTTTCTAGGATGTTCACTGGTGAATATCAATACCGCGCATTCGTAAAAGTTGTGCTTTGGTTGTTGTACTTGTTTTCCCGAACATTGATATCGAATGGTGTGCTTAACCAGGAAGCTTCACCCATGCTAGCCAATTCGTGACCCCGCTCCTCCACGGTCCTCCCTTTCGATTTGGTCCCGACGACTTCTCTCCTTGCCCACCCGGACACTGACCATTGCTCGTGCACGCACGTACCACATGTACATGACCCAACCACCAGGCCTGCGCCACGCTATGCACCGGCTCGGCCTACTATGGAACCCAGTATTCTCAAGAGGTATGATTTCTTGTATAGAGTGCGTGTCGAAAGAGTGTCAATCGTGCGCTATCGGGCAGGTTTTGTACAAGGAGCGTGGTAATCGGATCGCGTCGAGCGTTTTCGGGGGCTCTGGGTGCCTACCGCCGTCCCCGTCAATATTGCAACGTCTCTTGCAAATGATTCAGTTTCCATAGTTTCTTGTCCGTCTTCGATGAATCTTAAAATGCCTCGTAAGCGTGCGGAGTCATGACTCATCTATTCTCTGGTGAATTATATATGTGGTGCTTTCACCCATCGTATATTTGCTTCTGGAAGCCAAAGAGGAACCTAGAAGTCTGATACTGGTGCCGTCTAGGTCTTCTGCTGCTGCCGTCTGTCCCTCACGAAGCCGGTGATATGTATGCCACAGAATTGGAATGTGGCGTGTACAAACAACGTGAGTCGATTTTTTTCAACCAAAGGATGACGAATCGCACTAACGAAGCACAACCCCGAAGTGCGGCTTGATTTGATCCTCGCGTTGTCCGGAACCCGCTGACGGAAAAGCTACACCGAAAATGTAGCCACTAGGGTGTGTCTGTCACGTTCCTGTTGTCCTGATGCCGGCGCTGCAGCCGGCCTCCAACAAAACTCACCGGTTTTGTGGAACGTCGAACATTATGGTTGTCATCTTCACTACGATGACATCCATGCCGTCTCCACCCGTTCAATGCTGCATGAAACAGTGCTGGTGCGGCGACAACGCCGACTACGATGCCAGCGGGTTTGGCGTCTGCAACATGTCCTGCTCGGGAAACTCCGACGAGATGTGCGGCGGCTCGTACACTATGTCGGTGTACCAAAACATCTAAACTGCCCCCCCGCGTGCTTGCTTTATCAAGGTAAGCAGCCGCCACCACGTTTCACTCGGAATTGAACAATACTTGCAAGAGTTTCTCATGCATAGTAGATGCCAGAGCCATACCGAGCACCCGCAGTTGTACGTAGAACGTTTCTCTCAAGCATGATATGTGGCCAGCTGCCCGTGCAGTTCGCGAAAGCAAGGCACTAGTACGTGCACCCTCCGCTAGCGTGCGTGGGTGCGCCAATGGGTACCACGTAGAGCTGTTAGATAGTCAGACGTTGGGTAAGAGGCTAGAAATTGTTGAGGAATCGACGACTCCGCAAGGATCTAGTAAGGCTTCAGTGGCAATCTGGTTGGCTGAAGGACAAATAGCGATACTTTTCAAGTTCCTACCCTGGCGACGTCCCGTTGGCATTGCCCTAGGGGTAACGCCTCCGGTGCCATGAAGCTCTCCAACCACAGCCTGAAGAAACCGGCCGTGACGAGCCGTTCAACGCCCGGCACATAGTTCGCGTATTTGGCGTTACTGTAGTGGATACGACAACACTGGGATGGGCTCTAAACATGTCCATTCTTCCTCGTTGCCGCCCTGGACAATCTCTCGTTCAGCAGACACGTCGCCGACCTGGGGGAGTTCCACTAAACTTGGTGTTCACACGAGCGAAGCGATAGCCAGTCGCGTTCCTTGACGCACGTGGCACAGTCCGGTCGCTGTAGGTCTACGTTTATCGAAATGATGGGTACTGAGTGCACCTCACTAATAGAAGTTGAGTGACAGGTTTCCAAGACGTTTCTGGAACATACCGAAATCGTGCTTCGGCTTGCAAGAATATCGAAAGAAAATGCGGAGACTGTAAAATGATGGGTGTGTACATATTGCAGTGGTGATTGAATGTTGGGTGTTTGGGTGTTCTTGTGTAAATGGTGGGCTAGGGATGAGAAGGAAGGACAAGGTTTTAAAGTATTCAGAAGTAGGAAGCAACGTATAATACTGTGAGAGGGAGAATATATACCAGAAGGTAGTCACAACGTGAACGACTATTGAGTGGGCGGATGCATGACAGAATCAGGGGTCATCAGCTTGTAGAAGTGTGGTACCAGAGATATGGACCGCGATCGGCGAGGATTGTTTTTTCCCCATCGCCACTTTACCTATTCGTGCCGGTCAGAGAAGTAGCAAGTGCCCAACAGGACTATCGCGCAATTGGCTGTGTTGGTTGTTGTTGAAACGTGTTGTTTTGTTGGTGTTAGCTTCAAAAGATATTTCCAAGACGTGTCCGGAATATCGAAAGCAAACGAGGAGGCGGGAATGATTGATGTGTAAGTATTCAACCGGTGAGATAAATGTTGGATGTTTGGGTGTTTCTGTGTGTTGGGTGGGGTCATAGAGGGATGGAAAGGAAGGACAAGGTTCTAGGTGGACAGTGACAGAAGTGTAGAATGCAGCGCGTTGTACTGTGAGAGGGGCCAGCAGCGCGTAGAAACACCGGAGATATGGACCAAGATCGGGGGTGGCTTGTATTCCAATCGTCACTCCACCTATCCGTTCCGGTCAAGTTAGCAACCAAGAACCGCGCGGTGGGTTCGCCGGAAAATACAGAAACCTGCCCGCGGGTGTGATAGCCCGCATCTGCGATGTTCCGGAGCGTGATAGCTCTGATGTGATGACGCTGGTGGTGTGATAGCTTTGTGATAGCGTGATAGCCTGGAGGTGTGATAGCCTGGCGCGGTGTGATGGCCGGGGAAACGCCTTGATTGGAAAGAGACGACGGGACAAGGACGACAAGTGGACCCACAAAGCACCAAAACCAACCTCTTGTACTGAAGATACACACACCCTACACCAAGAATTCCATAGTATGTGGCAAAGTTGGTACCGCCAAGCTCAATCCGTCTGTTGAACCCCCAAATTCTCCGTGCTCCACCTTCTGGGAACTGTATCTGCTTGCAGTAATCCGTCAATGCTGAGTACATCCAACATAGATCCTCCCGATCATACATGCCACAGTGTGTTCCTCGGATTCGTGCAAACTCGGCGACTCGGCCTGCGCTGCACCCTTCAACTACCACTGCAATGATACCACCCTGACGCTCACGTTAGCGGTGATTTGTACCAGCTCTCCCTCCGTCGATTCATTGTAATGTTTAGTTTCTCATTGGCTGACCTGGCTGGCATTGTGTAATCGGCCAAACGCAGCCACACGCCACCAGAAGAACAAACGCGGCATTGTTAGGGTCGCGTGGTATGCCTGGAATGCATCGTGAATCGATGGTCGTTTCCGTGTTGATATGTCTTGTCTATCTGAGCGTCATTTTTGCTATCGAGAGGGGAGAAAGGGAACGTGAGCACGGAGTGGACCAAATTAACTAGAACTGCGCGCGCACAGAAGAGGGAGCAATTTATCTGGGAGACAGACCCCGTAAGGGAGAGTTCATCGTTAAAAAGAGAGAAGGTCGACGTGGGTGGAAGGGAACTGAAGAGATGATTCTTGTAAGAACGACGACAACCGGTGGGGGATATGCGCAGGAACTACGAAGACCGGCGGGGGGGAGCCCAACCTGGACCAGGAGTGGCTCGAAGATGATAGTATATACTGTGGGCTGTGACTGTTCTTGGGCACGTTGAGCGTCTCTTTTGACACGTTGTTGGTGTTTGCGTGGAACAGTCCCACAGACCATGGGCAACACCATCCTACA